ATACGGTATGAATGACACTGGACAAGCAGACGGGTCGGCACTGGCCTGTCCACTGACACGGACTGGGGTGAAGTCGTAAAAAACAGCAGAGCAGCCCATCAATAAAAAACGCAAGACAATGGACCGTGCTCTGAGGGGCCCTCCGCCCTGGGGGAGCGTAATCCATGGGAAGGACGAAGGAAGCTTTAGACTCTCTCAGAAGATGCCAGCCCAGAGATTAGAGCTGGGAATAAGTCAGTGAAAAAGGAAGTGACGCGATCTCAATGTTGAGATTATGCTTGGTCTATTATCAACAGCTGTACGGCTGTACCTTATACCAGACCTAAGGAAAACACAGCCCATCTTATTGATTCGGAATGCCTGTCAATTAAATCAAGCTGCTGGGTAGGTAAAGAGCAAATTCCCATACGTGTATTCTCGGAAGGGAATCGCAAGGAATTCCAGGTCGACCCAGCGATGTCTGCCCGTCTGTTTTCGAATAGAAAACGGTGCGGGGTTTTATTTAGCTTCTAGTCAGGAGTATGCCAGATCGAATTCGACAGATTCTGCCATAGGAACGATCGTTCGAAAAGCAATATCACCTGCTCAATCCCAACGACAATCCCCTTCAAATCCTCTTTCAAAGAGATGCTCTGGTCGTCGAAAACAAGCTTTCCGATTGGGTTAATACAAAAAAGTGGTGTACAAACGAGCTGTTACGAGCAGAAGTTAGTTATACATAGTTTACTACGTTTCCCCAACTGCCCATACTCGTTCGTCAATGATTGATAAGCTTTTGGCCAAAAACTTTTTGGCACTTGTCCTTTGACGCGATAAATTTCCCTTTTTCAGCGCTGCCAAAATGAGATTTACGAGCATATTTTGGAAAAACTTTACCCATAACAGAACTGCGACTGGGCTGAACAAAGCGGCGACTAATGAGCGCTTGAAGGACCGCAGAACAGAGTATTGGAAATCTTCATTAAGCTAATGAGTGGCTGACCCGGGAATGACGGCGCAAATGTTTCGAATGGGAACTGATGTGTTAACGATTTAAGGTTAAAGTCAAAACAGAGCCAACACTGGGAGCCCCCAGCTCCCTCCGTCAATGTCAGAGGTACGTGTGCGGCATGCAAAGCAAAGAGGAACACGCGACAGACACGGTGAAAGACAGCGAAACAGAGGAAGGAAACAGAGTAGCAGAGTAAAAGTAAAGAGCCGGAGGAAGCCCCCCAATCATCCGGCCATGCGATTACATGTGTGAACTATCGATTGAATTAAGACAAGCCGAGCAGGGGCCGGAGGGTCTGGTCTGACGACAGACCCGGAGATGAGGCAGGGACAGCCACTTAAGCGTGTCGCTTGACGGTCGTCGTGCGGGGCTCGACCAGCCAGCAGGTCCTCATCCACTTGAGGAACGTAATAAAAAACGCACCATCCCCCCGCACCGGACCTGCTAGAGATTCCCTGTCCCATCGCATCGCATCGCATCGCATCCCATTCCATCTAATCCAATCCCATAGCCACCGCTCATCAAAGCCGTCACACGTCGCAGTGCAGGCATAAAAAGAGTGCCCCGAGTACGCAGCATAATCAAACGGTGTGCGGACCATAATAATGTTGACAATCATCCCAGTTGGCCGAGATGGTCCTGGCTCTGCCGCCTGCCCCTAAGCACTGATTATGCCCGACATGAACTTAGCCCCATGGTCATGACAATTTACCGATTGTCATTGTCGTGTCTATAAATTTTGTTTGACAAGAGCCCATCCCCGTCCCCCAGCCCGGTACTCTCCGTCCCATCCACACTCGACATCCACTCAAGCTGCCTGAATTCACTCGTGTCTGGCCTCCGGCTGCGGCAGATCCGGCGGACGGAGAGCCGGGAGAAAGACTTTCGGGCGCCGGCGATTTGCATCAGAATTTCATAATTATTGTTTAATCTGCACTTGAATCCGAAGAATACCGAAATGTCGCAGAGCTGAAGAGAGAAATATATTGAATAGCCATGGGTTGGGCGGCAGTCCAAAAGTCCAAGTGGAATGGAGAACCATTGAAGCCAGATTCTAGGAATAGGCTCTCCATGGAGAACCATTTTTGCTTTACCGAAATGTTTCGCACTTATATTTATTTAAATGGCGGTTAGAAGTGGTTTCCCCTCGCTTTCCCTTCGCTTTTTGACTTCTTGCATGCGCCGATTTCATGACCGAAAACGAAATCCGACACTTCCTGCTGGACAAGAAGCAAGCTGGAACCAAAATAAATAATACAGAATAAAAAAAGAACGAAATGAAAAGAGCTCGGAATAAAATGGCTACTTGATGGGCAAATAATACTCGTAAAAATCAGATTCGACAAAAATTGTTGCGCAACTTGGTCGATCGGGTTGGGTTGTGGTCGTCTCAGTCTCATTGCTCATTGCTCATTCGAGGGCTCAAAGACGACCGCCATCGCTTCTGAGGAGAAGGAGGGGGAGGAGGAGGAGGAGGAGGAGGAGAAGACAGGAAACTCATATAATCCAAATAATAAATAAATTCAAGACCCAGAGCGCTAAAAGACGCCCGAACCCCAGCCCGGACCTCAATCAGAGCCAAATCTGAAATGCCATGAAAACAAACAAACTTGAAAAACTAGAGTTTTATTAATGAAAAATTACAAGGGCCAACACTGATCCATACCCACATCCAGATCCAAAACCGATCTGATGGCCGGATCGACTCTTTACCGAATTACGCCGCCTGATGGGCCCTTGGACTGCGACTCAGAGCCAGAGCCAGAACCAGAACCAGAACCAGAACCAGAGCTAGGACCAGAGCCAGAGTCAGAGTCAAAGGCGGTGGTCTCGGTCCCCTCTTTGGGACCGCTTCTGATGTTGTTGATCTTCATGTTGATGATTGTAATTCGATGCTGCAGCTCCATCGGCATAAACATAGGCATCTGCATCGGCATCGGCATCGGCATCGCCTCCTTCTGCTCCTGCATGCGCCGTTACGCGACCCCTGTTTGTTGATAGTACTCGTAGCTTGGGCCACTCCGGACTCCGGAGATTGGATTGGACTGGATTTGTTTATGTTGATTCTGGCCCGCTTTATCAATGCCGACAGACCACACAGCGTATGCAGTTCTGTGAAAATGAGAGGGTGTTCGCGATCGCCTCTACTAAGGGTGCAAGCTGAGATCGAGCCAAAGGGTTTTTCAGCAGAAAAAGAAAAAAGCCCGATGTGGGGCAATAAATGAAGATCGGACAAGTTATGTATCATGTAACGAGCACTTTATTATACTGGTAAATAAGTAAGTCGTACGATTTCGGATCCGGCGAAAGCCGTTTGTGGGGCGGACACTTACGATTCCAGTACTGTCAAAGACACAAGACATCTGTTCAGTAAAGACAGATATGCGTATATTTATAAAGATTCGGACTGATCTATTTTTACTTGGGCTGACGTTGCACTGTGATATTGTACCCAAGTAAAACTGTGATAAGAATTAGTATCCACAAATTGTGTTCCGTACTGTTCTTTTAAGTATAGTTGGTACTGAAATTAATGATCAAAGATGATTCATCAGGGGCGGGGTCCTGGTTAAACTCAGCAACCACGTTTTTTACTGTTGTTAGAATATAGTAAGATTCCACCTGACTAGAGTCTAGTTTGCTTTTTAAATCAAATGGAACATGAAAGGAACAACTATTCAAATTTGATGCCGAACAAGTAAGCATGGTGTCACTAAATTGTACACTTGTACATACGTACATGATAAGAGACGGCTACGGCTGTCTACCCCCGTCTATCCGGATGTTTCAAGTGTGTACATTATGGCTGATCGAAGCGTGCTTTGTTCGGAACTTTACCATATAATTAGAAGTTTTGCGTATGACTGTCCATCCTTTATTGCTTTTCGTATCATATCCAAATAGATTTAGTGGAGGCCCACCTCTTCATTCTGACTAGACCCGGCTCCCCGTTTCCAGAATTTAGGAACCCTGCCATAAATTCAATCAATTGCGACCTGCTCCTATTAGGCTTACTCACTATGAATTGTGAGTACCTATGTGAGTACATACATATGTACTATGTACCCAGGAAAAGTACACTTGGGATTGTAATTTTTTTAAATTAGATTTATTACTAACTTGATTTATGCACACTTATCGACTACTCACAATGTTTCTTTAATTTTAATTTATTTATAATTTCTTGCATTCAGTATTCGGTATTCGGTATTCAGTATTCGTCCTGTTCTTGACATTTCACAAAGAGAGACACTCGAATGTTTCCCAAAAAAACTTAAATGTACAGAATTGGCGTTGTATCTTCGTTTTATTTAAATCGGTGTGTGGGTGTGTATTTACATTATCGTCTGCAATGAGCTCTTTCTCCGTTTTCATTATTACATCGTATAGGACTTGTTTGTTCAGTTTAGTTCAGTTTAGTTCAGTTTAGTTTTGATTTGTTTCGTTTTGCTTCAGTTTCACTTTTTACAGATTCGGCTTCGAGTGTGGTAATTTGTCAGTACAAGTACTTGAAGTATTTAACCGTAATACAACCTTTGTTTAGTATGTGTATGGCTCAGGGCGGTGGAACGAAGAGGAAAGAAAAAACAGAATCGCGGCCTTTAAGATCAACATTACAGCTACCCTTATTTCATCAGTTATGATATCTATTCGCTCCTGCTCGCTTAATATTAGGGGGGAAACTAAGGCTAGAACTAATCAACAAATAAGCGTGTGTTCCTAACTCGTAATTTGTAATTGTAATTTTTAATCGTAATACAATGTAGCGATCGGTAATCAGAACCTGCAAATGATTCTCTACTCTTCCCTTTTTCGATTTCTATTTGATTTTGATTTTGCTTTTCGTCTTTATACAATGTTTGTTCTCTATACAAATGCGTTTTTTTTTTTCAAATTCAATAATCAATTTTTGCCTATAGTCAGGCTGATAATCAGCAACCGTCCAAACATGCCCACTCTCCCTGACCTCTCTCTCTTTCTCTATCTATAGCTTTAAAAGATCTCAAACTTAAATGGTAACGGAATTTATTGTCACAATCCTAAAAAAGAGGGAATTGGGTTAGGCTTATGGCCACAAAAACTAGATAGAAGAAAACTCCTGGGGGAAAATACCTTTTGGAATCAGTTCCATTTAGCCATTCAGTTGGCCAGCTGCTGGGCGGCCCACTGGTGGCCGCGATGCGAGGTTGTTGAGGAGGACGAGGTGGCTGCCGCCAGCTGGCGTCATAGGTAGAACTCTGGCGAGCTCTGGCTGTCGCCAGCTGCAGGCGGACCACCTCCTCCGGCAGCACCGATCCTTTGGAGACGCTGCATGAGCGCGTCCCGCTCCTGGCACACGCGCGAGTACTCATGCTTGAGACGGTGCAGGTCCTGGTTGAGCTGGCGGTTGGCCTTCTCCAGCTCGTGGCGTTGGTGGAGGCGCTTGGAGCGGCAGTTCTGGGCGTAGCCGCGGTTCTTCAGGGTGCGCCGCTTCTGCTTCAGACGCACCACCTCCTCGCGGGGGCAGCCGTGAAGTCGCTTGTTCAGCTCCCGCACCGTCAGCGTGGTCAGCATGTCGTCGTTGATGCAGTCCTCCAGCGTGGCGGTGCTGTACGCTCCCGAGCAGGTCCTGGGCGACATGTTGTTCGAGGATCTCGTCGAGCTGGCCGACATGGGTCGGCAGGGCTGGAGGGCCGCTCGGGTGAGCACGCAACCCCCTCCCACGCTGCTGCTGCCGCTGCTGATGTTGCTCGGAACCTGGGGCAGGCAGGTGGGCGTGACCGAGCCGGAGGCTGCCGCGTACGTTGCCGTGTGGGAGTGGGCGTGTGGGTTCGAGTGCATGTTGATGGGGGCCAGGTCGAGGTTGTGGAAGTGGTGATGCGGATACTTGGCCTGCTGGAGCACGACCTGGTGCGGGTGCGGGTGCGGGAGCGGGTGAGGATGCGCGTGGGGATGGCCGTGCGGATATGGGTGCGGATGGGAGTGCGGATGGTGTTGGCTCTGCATCAGCGGCTGTCCGTGGTGGTGATGGTGGGCGGCGGCCGCCTGCAGGGCGTAGTCCCGCTGGCGATCCCACTCCTCGGCCTCTTCCTGGGAGCCGGGATAGGGCAGCGGCCGCAGATCGAGGGGCTGCTGGTCAGCACGTATGGAGTTGGTCAGCCACATCATTTCGTGGCTCAGTCCGGCACTGACCACTGGCGCAGCCTCCTTCCTACAGCTACTGCTGCCCGTCGGCGAGCCCACAACGGGCGGAGTCTCCGGCGGGGTGGAGGGCACGCCGCCTGGCACTCCGGCAGCCGAAGAGGAGGATGTGTTGACCAATATCGCCTGGCCGGGCATCGGGCCGTACTGCTCTGGGGGTGGCGAGAGGGGTTGCAGCCGCCGCTCATCTATGTGCCACTGGTGGCCCGAGAAGGAGCGGAGCTTGATGTGCGGCGATGGTGACAGCTCCTCGGCAACGGCTGGCTCTGGGACAGCCAGGGCCAGGGGCTCCGGCACCACCTCGTCGGGGACCGGTGGCTCCCCATGCACAGTGGTCCACTTGACCGCCACAGGCTGCGGCGGACTGTGATCCTCCCGTTTCACGTGCCCGATGGCGGCGGCCACAGCCGCGCTGTTGTTCGCGTTGCCGTTGCCGTTGGCGTTGCTGCTGCTGCTGCTGCTGCCGGCAACCGGCACCTCCAGGTGGTGCAGATCGAACTCCTGCACGTACGTATCGGCTATAGTGGGATCTTCCATTTTCATTGGATCGACCGCGACCGGCCGGTCTCACATGCGAGGGTCGGGGCAGGGTCAACTAGGACAACTATCGGGGCTTTCGGGGGCCACTCGCACTTAGCACTCGGATACTCGTACCGTGTCGGGCCGAAGTTTTTCTTTAATCTTTCTTCTTCCTTAAATTTTCCTCGCTTTTCGAGTGTTGATCACTTTGGGCACTATCTTTTTGGCATTATCTGTCTGCCTGCTCTCTCTCTCGCTCTCTCTCTTACTTTCTCTTTCTATTGCTCACTTGGAATTTATTTTGGATTTTTTCGCGAACGCGTTCTGCCGCCCACTGCGTCCAATTTCAAAGAGTTAACGGTGGCGAATGAGTCTGGCTCTGGCTCTCGGTCTGGCTGATGACTGAAGGGTGGCCCTGGGCCGAGGAATGGCCGCGACGCGCGCAGCGCCTCAATTTTATATACATGTACGAGTGTAGTGTGTAACGGTAAAGCTAAGAGACACGAAATGCAAAAACCGAATGCGACGACCACGACAACAGCTACATCGGCAGCTCGAACGCCATTCGCTGGTGGCTCGTTTGACTCCTGCTGGAACTGGAATTGGAAATGGTACGGAACGTGTGGCGAAAAGCTCGCCCTGCCGCCACCGCACACTTGTCGACAGCAGCAGCAGAAACAACACCAACAACCAGAAATCCACGAGAGCCAGAGCACCAACCAAGCGGAGAGAAAGAAAAGCAAACTGAGAAAGCTCCGCATCTCGGTGCTGTGCACAGTGGGGACAGAAGCGCAGAAAACTGCTTTCGCATCGCAGAAAATTGACTCTATGGGACACTATTCTCCAGTCACTGCAAATGGGCACTTCTATTCTGGCGTTACGTTTCATTCGTACGACAAAACGTAAAAAAATAATGGTTTATTTGAATACCAATTAGAGCTATACTTACCAAGAACAAATAATGACAACAACACAAAAGTACGGTTTTAAAGATATAAGCCAAAACGCGACCTGACGTTACTTTTCCAAGAACGAATGCGGTTTTTGATGTTGGGGTACATAATTACAAAACTCGGCAAATTGGTTAGGACTATTCGTGTAAATTTTTATATGAAATATTCAGTGTCAATTTTCCAAGTTATTAAATATAAAAGCCTTTGCTATTGTTTGTTATAGGTCCGGTTATGGGTGTTATAGTTCAATATACTAGACAGATTTGAGGAAACACCTTCATCAAGAATAAATGTTATTTTAGAAGATAATAGTAAAGAAATAAATAGACTATACCGAAAAAGTGAAGTCTTAAAGTTCATCCAATTATATGCCCGTCGATTAATCAGTTAGCTCTCAATAAATTTATAAAATAAGTTCGCGACAAAAGTACATATATGGAAATGTGCTTTTATTGACTTTAAATATTTTTTCGCATGGTGGACATTTTGGCGGTTCAACAGGAAATTAAACGTTCCCGATGATGCATAGGGTATCAAAAATATTCATTTTGTTGGGGAGGATGCCTTTGCCTTAGAATCGAAGCTTGAACTTTGAATCCAACATTCGGCCCACTGTGCAGGAGAATAAAGTTCGGCTTGCTCTCTTTCTCTCATTTGGGTTTGGTTTCGTGTGTCCCCCGTCCCGCCTCCCTTCAGCGACTCCATCCGCATTCTCCCCTGCTGCTGCCCTGCCGATGCCTCTGGCTGGGGTCAATTTTGGTGGTGGAATAGCTGCGCTGTTGTGGGTCTGTTCTCTGAAGTAGGCGTTTTTGAATTGCCATGGAGCGCATAAAAAATGGCACACACACATATACAGTCGAGCTTACATAGATACATATACACATTATGCTGCCTCGGCTCCGCCCACTTGGCCATATCTACGAGTATCTATGTACATACATACTTATGGCCCTCTCTCTACACACACATTCCTACATAGCCGCTTCCGCTGGCCGTCGCCGCGACGGAGCGGAGCGTCATCGTTTCCAGTCCCATTTGGCTGGCCATCGTTTGGTTGGCGCTCAATTGGTCCGGACTGGAAGAGCCGAGGGGCTGTGGTCCCATCCATTGTTCCATTTTCCAGTGCATAAGTCAATGCGAGATGTTTTAGCCCTGATAAGTCGCTCGATTTGTTTTGGCTCGTATATAATACGCGTCTCTCTCTCTCTCTCTCTCTCTCTTTCTCCATGGATACACGTAATGTTGTGTGTGTGTGAGAGTATCTGTGTGTTTGTATATCTGTTTGCTCTGTGTAAAGGATTTCAGAGTGCACAGGTGCATTTACTTGCTGAGCCAGCAGAAATGGCCCCGGATACCTTACCAGCCTTCTTCTGTCCTCCTCCGCCCTCCGCCCTGCGCATCCGCATCCGCACCTCCATCCCCATCGTCCCATCCTCCCATCTTGGACATGAGTTTTTCATGTTTTATTTTAATTTGGACCTGTTTTTTTTTGTTTTGTGCAAATGTTTTGTCTACGTTGGCCAAACAGATTTCCGTGATATAATATTGTTGTGAGATATGAGCTGGGATTGCGAGCTGGGATTCTCTTTTGTTTGTGCAACAAGTTCAATTTTGCTTGAAGGGCCGCCCGGAAGGAGCAGAAAGAGTGGACTTTCAAAAATGGTGGCTATTTAAGTCACGATACATTTTCGAAACGTTATTTTATTATTATAAATATATACGATTTATTTAAGTATCAGGCAGATGTGAACTTATTATTACCTCGAACGGATGTACGAAACTTAGTTAAAATATCGATATAAAACCATTTCCCATCAATTTACACATTTGGGATTTGGGGAAGCATCGAAAATCTCCCTTTCTTAAGGGACTAGGCGATTTCGCCTCTATCGTGATTCGAATTTCTCCATATACTGGACTCGAAATACCGGCGCATGATTTTCATAAATCAAATGTTCAACTGAAAACCTTTATACAAAATGTAACCGGTTATTATTTATGAGACTTGTTAACCCCGCACTTGTTAACTCTTTTTGCAACATAAATAAACATACAATTTGCTGTAAACATTGCATTATAGAGAAATGCTTGAGACTGCATGTATTTGGTTAAGTCTTTCCGTACAACAAAATGTATACATTTAATAAAAACATTTCAGAAATCCTCACTTTATTTGATTTTTCTTTTTCTCGCATACGAATTTTCAATAACCGAAACTCATTTCCCCAAACGGGCCAAAAGCTTGAGAACTATTCTCGTATTTGGTTAACTTGTAAGCCACAAAAGTGACCACAAAAACTTTCATTTGGCTGCTTCTGTAACTGGGTTATCTTCCCCCTTCGGACCATCAGACCATCAGACCATCAGACCCGCAGCTTCTTATTCCCCCCTATCACACCCATTCTCCACGCAATTGTTGTGTCGAGAAAAAATTGGGAAAGGGCGGATGGGAAAGGAAGTAGGAGTGGGAGTGCGAGTGGGAGGGCAAGGAGGCATAAAACATGCTTCTCTTCTGCCAGCAGGAAAAACATAAAACAAAATCAAATCAAGTTTGGTGGGTGGGAGGTGGTTGAGTACTAGTCTTCACTGAAGCTTGTCAAAATTAAATTGAACACAATCGAATTATCCTCTGAATGCTCCATTTGGCTGTCTGCGCTGATTTCTGACGAAAACTGGGGTACGTATGAGCAGGACCACGAGGAAGACAGACCATACATATACATATTCATATAAGAAGAGATTTTTTCAGAGGGAGAGAAGGAGAAAAAGGCGGCTAGGACTACTCTTGCTCCTGCTCCTGCTCCTGCTCTGTGGCAGCACTTGGGCATATTAAAAAGGGTTAAAGGTGTGCAAATATTTATCTGAGGCCAATTAAAAATACTTTTAATAACCAACTCGGAGCGAGTCAGAGCAGTGCGCGGACGGAGTCAGCCACGTGCTAGCCAAGTTTTCTCCAATCTCCACTTTCCAATCTCCATCTCCCGCCACTATTTGCCTTTAACCCTCATGCGGGAAAGTATGCAATGATATATTTCCATCTCTGCTCATTTGCAATCGATTCGATTCCGCCGATTCGTGTTGCGGCGTTGTCGGTCCCTGGAATTCAAATCCAAGTGCAAATATTTGATTCCTTTCAATTGCATTTCAATTGTTGATGATGATTATGCGGACTCCCGCATCTCGTGGCCCGCTCACATGAGTCCCAGCACCAGGAACGCAATTGACAATGTTTATTACGGCGGATTAGGCAGCATTACTCGTACGACTTACAGAAAAAAGACGCTTATTCTTGGTCCTGATGTGATTGACTGTGCCAGGCGGTCTGGTTGTCCCTGCCACCCTGCCACCATGCAGCATGTCTGCCCTGCCCACTGCACTGAGGAAATTGAATACAATATCTTTGATGATATTGGTACACATTGGTTTTTTGACCTCGTCCTGCACTTTGGGGGCTCCTCCGTCTTGTACAACCGCAATATTCCTATTCATAGAAATTACATTCCATGCATCCACATTTATAATCTACTTCATACGATATAAAGACGATATTTTCTCCCAGTGTGTGGCGGCTGCGGTTTTAGATCATCGCTTGGAGTGCAGTGCACTTTAAGCATGAAGTAAAGTCGTGTTTTATCACAAATAATTTCCGGTAAATCAACAGAAAATCGATTGGAAATAAAACACCGTACAACACAAATGGGCAAAGCGTTGACATGTGCCTTGCCGCACTTCTCTTTCTCACCACTCTTAATATCCCTCGCCGCATACCCATATCGATGCCCCCTTTCGTTGCACTGCACATCTCTGCGTGAGTGCAGCCCGCCCTGGGGGTCGGTGCCAGGCAATGAAAAATTTCCTCTTCAACGGTCTTCGCTCGGGTTTAATGACATGTGCAAGAGCAGAAGGATCAGAGCCGCGCAGAACAGACCTTGTCTCTATGGGATACAAGTGTTTGAGGCCTATGCCTGCTAAAACATGCTGTCTACGTCCTAAAGGATGGTATTTCCTTCAATATTATTTATTATATATTTCTAACTGTGCAGTACGGGTTCTGAACAGCCTGATGGAACCGTGTAATAACAACTGTTGAATATTGATGTAGATCCTACAAATTTCGAAAAGTGAAATGAACATGTGATGACTTTTTATCGTTGGAAAAGCAAAGCATTCATATTGGTCCATCGATTTACTCCACGAATTAAAGTTAAATCTTTCTCCAGTAGCTCCTTGTTTTTAACCATTGATAGAGAATCTCAAAGGATTTTCTATCTCTTATTTGTCAACATATCCAGATGTCTATCCCTCTTAATGTCTCAATTTTGGATAATCCACAATCCACAATGATTTTCTTGGTCACACACGGGTCAATGGCAGCAAGAGGAAAATAAATTTGCCATCCATTTATCAACTTGGGAGGTCGGGCCAGTCCTTCTCTGAGCAAACAGGCAGCGTTCGAGGTCGTGGGTGTCCTGTGATCTGTGGTAGTATCCGTGGTGTCTGCGGTAACCAGGGTCATAACGAGCCACCATTTATTCTGTTTACACCTTCACCTCAGGCGGAAAGACGCACGGAGTCAACAAATTGACAGCAAATATTTCAATTATTCTGCTCCGGACTTTATTTATGAAATCAAAAGGACCAGTTTATGTCTGTTTACAAATCGTTGGACATAATTTATTTGCCCCCATTGTTTTGGTCCGGCTTCGTGCCTGCCAATCGCTGAATGATAAACTGCTTTTGGTGATAAGCCACGATACCACGACCCAAGGCTACCCAAGGCAACCCAAGGCATCTGGGGACTCAGGGGTGTGAGCGAGGGGTTGCTGCCCTTGCCAGATCATTAGGAAGCAATTATATGTTTAGGGTTGCGTTACACCCCTCTATTCGCCCTATCTCTCTCTCTCTGTCACTCTCTTGGACACTCTTCGGGAAGAATTGAAGGTCAGGTACGCGTACGTTCTGTCAGATGTCAACGAATGTGAGTGCGACAGTGCAGTGGGCTGTTGACAGCTGCGGCAACGCCCACAAATGTGTTGTCTGAATAATATGGTTAATTTCGGAAGGGAAGTGTAAATTGTAATTGGCAAGTTCTTAAAGGGAACGAATCTCGTTGTTTATTATAGAACATAAAACATAAACCTATGCTATTTAAACGTCCATTATTAATATATACACATATATGTACATACGACAAAGATGTCGGTCTGTCGTTTTCGGATATACGACAACAGAATAATAATTGACCTTCGCCTATAGGGTTTGGAGATCTTTTCTCAATCGGTACATGCATCTATTGAATTATCATTTATTGGGCAATTAAGTCATAGATAATGAAAGCACCTGCATAAGGCCTGCCTGTCTGCTGGTCATCATCTTTAGTGGTGAGCAGGTTGACCATCAGCGAAAGATATTTCTTTGTTATGACGTTGTTAGCGACTCGTATACGAGATATGTAATGATTAGCACTCTTGGAGATATGGCCATATGCAGAAGTATACCTAATTATCTGCATGCGAAAAGTGTATGTGCAGTGTCCCTTCAGAGTGCACTGTCGAAAGTCCTTCGGAAATATGTACACATTTATCGGCGTCCATCACTGCCAACCAGAGTGTGTCCGTCCACATCCGTCTGTGGTGTGGTGCATCGTATAGTGACAGTTCTGTGTGCCATATGTTGGAGTTGAGGATTTCCTTAGGGCTCCGTCCTTCTCCACTTTCTTTATTTTTCAATAAAATTCGAATAAATTCAGTTTGCAAGCCATAAATTATGTCCAGTTCAGTCCTGACTCACATGTAAGGCGAGACACGGAGGGAGATACGCACACACACTCACACGTGTTACCAGAAGCCAACTAATAACGGGACATTGGTCGTGCCTCCCAAAATGTAGGCTATGGGATATGTGCTTTTTCTGTGTGTCTGTGTGTGTGTGGGTGGTCGTTTTTTTTTCTTCCGACTGCTACTGTCCCCCCATAAATATTTGCGCAATAAATTTTTTAATCTTGTCGCTTTAATCGCACAAATGTCGCTGCCTTTTATACGCACAAACACACACCCACACACACATACAGATTATGGACCCCTCAGCCCCCTCAGGCCTCTCTCCGCGTTAGCAGCAAAATCAATTTCACTATCATTGACCAAAGGGCAGGTCTGAACGAGTGAGGGAGAGCGAAACTTTTTTACTGTTTGTTTGTGAGCCCTGGCACAGACACAGACGGCAACAACTTCCTGTGGGGGTGTGTGGGTGTCAGCAGGGGTAGGGCAAGACAACGGGATTCAATAAAAAATATCAAACATATTTGTAACGGTCAGAGGAATCACACATACTTTCCCTTCTGCCCATCCCGTCCCCCTCACACACCCACAGCATGCCGCGGGTCCTGGCTACGAGTGCAAACATATTTATGGTCGCCGACTGCATTTTATGCGTTGTCCAACACTCAATTACCATAACGGGAACAGTCCACGCCAGCCAGCTGTCTCCTTCCCGCACCTACAGTGATTTTGCATAGAAAACACATAAAACGAACATGTCATCTGTGGCGTGGCGAGGCGTTGTATGGCGTGGCGTGGCGGGAACTGGAGCTGTAGCTGGAGTTGGAGCTTCCTTGACCGGAACAAATTCAGCTTGTGGGCTCGTTTGCTCATTTGATTTGGTTATGCCGGGCCAGATTGTTATTGTCATCGGCCTTTGATGTGACCACTCTACGATGTGGCCGGGTGTATTCTTGCGTTTGTGAGGCCGGCAAATGTGCGAAGCATTAAAATTTATGTCAGCTCCGACCTCAAATTGTTGTGTCCTCCACATAACCTCAAACGAGCTATGAAAGAGCTAGGAGATTTTATTTCGAGTTTTCATTCTTAAACTACAGGAAGGACTGAGAACTGGGAAAGCCTACATTATCCTTATTTTCAATATCCATGCTTCAATTTTCTGTATAGGTACAGACTCCAGCTGTAATAATATTAATAAGGAAACCATCATCATCGCGTCCTAGTCGAAAATAAAGCCCAACTGCTCCATATCCTTTTGGACACTGCTACCAGTGCATTGATCTTTCAGCATGTCCAACCAGAGCGTGTAAGAGTAATCCTCATGCAATCCACCATATCTAAGGGGCACACGAAAGAGACGTAAGAGCTATAGCCAAGAGTATCACGAGTTAAAGAAATTTAGGTAGACTTACCGCTTGGGCAGATGCTCGGGAGCGATGTGCTTGTGCAGGGATCTCATATCACTGCCATGGATGTAGAGCCGCTCTCTCATGGCAGAATTAAGGAAGGGCTTGAACATCTTGAACCCCGCATTGAAGACCCAATTCTGGTTCACAATATGCAGGGCAGAAGTACGAATTGGCATGGAGGTCTTCAATAACAACGAAAATAATTTCATATCCATCATTTATGGCCCCATTTATGGTCCTGATCTGGTTCTTACCACCAACAGAGCAATCATCTTCTGTGCTACACTGGGACTCAGATGGAGTATATGTTCCAGGCCTAGATCCTTGAGATCAAAGATTCCCACTCCTCCCATAATCTGAGAGATTGGCTCTAGGCTACCCAGCTCCTGCAGGACAATGGTGGCCCTAAAAATATCATCGACCGTGACGCGATTGGGTCGCCAAATTCCGAATCGATAGATGAGTATGCGGTGGCCGTGCTGATCGCGATATGGCGTCACTGTCAGGATGTCTGAATCGCCCAAATGACGCAGATCTAGGGGACGAACCTTCTCGTAGTAGCCTTTGTTGTGTTCACGAAATTTATAATAGCTGCAGAGCTGTAAAATATAATTTGGCTTAGATAATCATTCGTTAGATTTTTACTTAACAGTTAAACAACTTACCAATCGATAGCTATTTTCGATCTTCCAGTACCGTGCACGTAAAAACTTCTCCAGATATTGGTCATCGTTACGATGTGGCTGGCATTCGTTCCGCTCTGAAGGAAAATTGATCTTAGTCTAGAGGAGGAATCTGAGGAATCTGAGGAATCTGGGCGTCGACCCACCCAAAATATAGCTACGAAACTGTTCGATGGTTTGTTTCTTGGTCTTTGGGCACTCGCCCTGTTCGTTGGCAATGCGACGGATGTGCTCAGGAACCTCTTCCTCGGAGACGTTTAGTTTGTGCTCGACGGCAGGCATGGCTCGGGTTCTAGTACTGCTCGTCTAAAAAATAAGAAAGCGGCAAAGCGTAAAGCTTAATTCTAATTTAGCTATTAAATTGTCTCAAGGTCTCGAAACCTCTACAAGCAGTTTCCACACGGGAGTCACAACACCAGCAACAGAAACAAAAATTATACAAACGTCAAGCTCTGGCTTAGGCCACATAACATTGTATTTGAATGCAATTAGCCTCACGTGTCTCATGGTTAGCCACATATGGGAATTTTCAATCAACTTTGACATTTCAGCTCTCCCTCATACCCCATCCGAACTCCGAACTCCGAACTCCGAGCTCCCAACTTCAACTTTCCAATTATGATTCATTATTTTGTAAGAATTATGGGCGTGGGGTGGGCTTTTCCTTTACCATTTAAACGTTTGTTCTACCGCGATCCGCTCGACTTCAAGTTGGAAACTTGAATCAGGCCAAATGTTCCCAGTCTCATGCAAAGTGTTGTTTGTCGTTACACATGTATGGGGACCATTCCATTGAATATTAAGTATAAACAGTACACAGAGCCGAACAGAACAACAAAGAACACCCCAGAGCTGCGATAGCGGAAAAGAGACAGCAGAGCGACTGTCAAACGAGCGATTATCGCCGGATGGAGCTGCTCCGTTGCTCTGATGCCCCTGTCCCCTGGAACTGAACCTCGAACCGAACGATTACGTTTTCCCCAATATATTCGACCAGGCCCTGATAAGCCGGCCAGCCCACCGCTGTGTTTGCTAATCAGGTCGGTGGGGTCGGTGCAACGTCAACACGCCGATGACAGCGATGCGACCGACCCCAGCACGTACCCCACAGGTGATGATGCCACACCACAGAAATCTCAAAGTGCACACACATACATATTTATATGTATGTATGTGAATATCTGGAGATGTGCAAAGTATCCGTGCCAATATTTAAAAGATCATCAACAAATTGCAACTAATTACATGGCTCACATGCATTTCAAGACGTCTACTAACATTAACACTAAAATGCCCCAGTGACACTTAACCCACTCCCACCAACGACAGCCCGTATGCAGTCGCCCCCATCTCACAGATCCGCGGCTCAAGTGTTAATGAACTCCTTTAGTTGGAGTCGGTAATTGGCCCCGCACTGGCAATTGATTACAGCAAATGCTCAACTCAACAGAGTGCTGGATAATATACACTTATACATAATTGTAAATAATCACTAGACTCTATTTATAATGGCCTCAGAGTCAACACCCGATTTATAACCACACGGTGTGGAATCTCCACTTTCATTACCAGGTAATGGAATATCTGATACACTTTTTGTTATTATGTATGTACATATATGTACTATGCATACATATATGGCATGCACGTATGTATATTTGTACTTGTATTGTACTTCTGGTATTGCCGCTTATCACGCTTGCTTCTAGTGAGCTCAAGCCAAGTTCCAAGTGGAAACTGACCAAAAGATCGTTCAGAACAAAACGTTTTATGCCCCTCTGAACAGAACTCTCGATACAAAAAAAAAAAATATATATTAAAATTAAGAACCTGTATGTACGAGTGTGGAGCTGAACAAGAAAACGAAGCTGCCAGACCCTTGGCATGGGAATCTTCCATGAGATGACGTTCCGTTCCTCTAGGAGGGTGAATAATAAAGTCCATTTCGGTTTTAAGGTTGTGCTTATACAGAGAGAGGAGAGCGATGCTATGCAGTTAAAGGTTCCCTCTCAGCGGATGGAGAGAGAGAAAGAGAGAGTGAGCGAGACCACATGCACTTTTCGCGAGATCTTCTGCTGGATAAGTTCAATGAGCTGCGGTGACGTCACAGAGGGGGAATTCAAAGCTACAGAATGTTCTTTGCTTTTGCAGCTAAACTGGTTTCAGATAACAGAGAAAATTGCACCAGGAGCACGCGAAATTACGTTGATGACGTCTTGTCTTGTTGGGCAAGGTCAGTGCTAAACCAAACCTGTTCGATCGGCCATGGCTTTGGCTGTTACCTTCGACGAAGTTGGCTTTAATTGCCATTGATTACAGTCTATATAAATGCAATTCGCAGGTGGTCAATTGAAGGACAATTATTCTCAAATTCTAAGATATACGTTTCATAGTGAGATCTAACAGAAGTGCGGATACCAAATTTGGTTACTCTAGCCTTAATAGTCTCTGAGATTTGTGGATGCCCCAGATTTTCATCCTTTGCGGGGGCGGAAGGGGGTGTGGCGAAATTTGGACACAAAACGGTCAAGGTCCGATATCACAGGAGTGTGGATACCAAATTAGGTTGCTCTAGCTTTTATAGGTTCTGAGATCCTTGAACTCATATTTTGCAATTGGCAAAACCGACCAAACCGACGAATGAAATTGTTTTCTTGATTCTGGCTATAATAATTATACGATCTGGTTCAGATGCACTCTAAAAGATATAGACATCCTCTACGATTCTGCGTTTTCTGTTTTCTCTTTCTTTAAAATTGTGGATGCCACAGATTTTCGTCCTTTGTGGGGGCGGAAGTGGGCGGGGCGAAGTTTTGAAATATTTTTGTAGCAGTGACATATCACAGAAGTCTGGATCCAAAACATCGTTGCTCTAGCTCTTATAGTCTTTGAGCATTAGGCGCTGAAGGGGACGGACAGACGGACAGACGGACGGACGGACAGACGGACAGACAGACATGGCTCAATCGACTCGGCTATTGATGCTGATCAAGAATATATATACTTTATGGGGTCGGAAACGATTCCTTCTGGACGTTACACACATCCACTTTTACCACAAATCTAATATACCCCAATACTCATTTTGAGTATCGGGTATAAAAAGATCCCAGAAAATTTTCTGAATGTCGGTTAACGGTAAATTGTTTGAGTTTTATTAGAGAGAGACCTAAATTAAATATATAAAAATATATAAACAAATCACATTTGCCTAAAATGATAACCAATTTAAAGAGACATCAATGCACAACATTTTTCAGACATATACTGCCTCAACTTTTGCTGATATCTGAGTCTGAATTATCGCCGCGAATAGTTGTTCAAAATCGACCTTAGCACCAATTGTAGAGCTTATCAAGAGAGCTACATTATAATGGAGAATGGAACTGCCCAAAGTGAAATAATAAATAAAGAGTACAATAGCTTGTCTTATTGCAGCGAAAGTTTTACACTACTCTATGATCACCTGCCTTAAGGCGTGAGGTTTCAGGTGACCCTTTTTCCCCTAAGATTTTGATTTACGTGTAATCAAAATGAGCTCAATTGGCAGCCAATTGATCTAAATTCCATGTTTTTCATTTTCCAGGGGTTTTTCCAGGTTGCTTGCTCTGTAAATCCTGTCTTTCCTAATATGGAATTGCTTGGCAATTTTGATAATACATTTGATAATTTTGTTCGGTCACTTGGTAAGCCTTTACTGTTTCTAGCGCTTCTCTTTCTTAAAAAGTTGATAAATGATTAAAATCTCCATACGGCTAATGCTATTAAATAAGCCGATACAATTTTTATAGTCGGTACATTCGCTACTTAATTTACCGTGGCAAATGCCTGCAAAAAGAAATTTTTTTTATTGAATACCAACTCCGTGGTTGCTTTTTATTCAAATTTAGAAGCCATGGACTTAAGGACTCAAGGTGTCCGTATGGCTGAATTTGAAAAAAAAAACCCTGCTCGATACTTGGATGTATATCAATAGAAATGCTTCCACAGTTGTGAGCTTGATATTTTAGCAACTGCATTTAACTCAGTCACGGAGAAAGACGAAGAAACAAGTAAAAAAGAATAATGAACTTCGAATTTTAAATCGAAAGGAGTGTGCCAAAATGATGTAGAAATATAACAATTTAATGACATGCATTTTGAATGTCTTACATAACTATTAATAAATTAATAGAACTGTATTACCCAACAAAAAAACTAGTAAAAATTGCACGTTATATCGGCGGTAGGGGTGGGCGAGGTAGGATATCTCAGTTCTTATATACATACATACATACATATGTATATCAACACAATCAACAGTACCTAGTTTCAAGTCTCCAACCTAATTTTTCGTATTTATTTATTTCGGCTGCCTGGCCCAATGTGCTGTGGGACGATCATTCCATTCGTTGAGGAGAGTGAAGACTTGGCTGTGAACTACGACTAAATCATGTCTGAAGGGTAATTAAAACATTCTTCATTAATTACAGGACAGATTCTGCATGCTCTGAGACCAGCACTATGCACCTTTTGGAAAAAATCATGCAGTGATAGTGTGTAACGCTTGAATCAGCCGAGAGAGCTAGTTCGCAGCGCCATCTAGTGGTCGGCACCGTAATGGCCGTGGCAGAGCATACACCCTCTATGGGCTGGGTTTGGGAGGTCACGAAAAGGGGCATAGGAAAGGGTGATAGATTTAACAGCCTAGATTGTCAACTTTCTCTGGCATTTCCCTTGTTCTATGAGAGGGCCCGGAGGTTCTAGCATGTTGAAGGGGCTTGGCTTCGGTCTCTTCCCGTTTTGGCGCTCGACCCGAGCATTCGTTTTCTTTTATCAGAAAAAAATATATATTTTAATCTAAGTGCTTCAGAAACGAGAAAGTCTTGAGTTAATCCGGCGTTAGTTTTTCCAAGCTAGGTAAGATGGAGAAGGGGGATAATTTCATCCGCATAGGACCGGCTATTGGCGCAGTGGATACGGCAAAAGAGGACCGCCGTGACGCCTTATTTTTATTTCAAAACCGGCCCGGTTCAGCTTCACGGATCCAAAGACGCCGAGGCGTCGAGGAGATCGAGCGGCCGAGGGACGCAAAAGGGTCCAGAGGAGCAGCCCAAGTACCCGGGCACCAACGACACGCTAGCGAGAGTTGAGTGGTTTTTGGAAGAAAAAAAAACTCAATCGTCTGGTTGGAGAGCGCATTGGACGGCTACCAGGACGGCACGCAACCATCCGCCACGGGCGGCCAACCCGAAGGACGACCCTGAAGGAAGAGCCAGAAGAAAAACCCGCGCACCTACCAAACTTTCTACCTTTTAAGAACAATAAAAATAACTCTATCTCTTTTGTTACCGCTCAAGCCCCGCCTTATTCTTGAACCACGAGACTCTCTTTCAGCTACCACACCCAGAGATCAAACAAATTTCTGTGGAACCCGGCGCGACGAGCAATACCCCGGCCGAAGCGCCGTCACACTGTTGTTGTAGCTGTTGAAAGAAAGATTAGAAAGATGAATAAAAGATCAACCTAAAAAGATTACTTACTTTGTCATTGCCATGAGAGGCAGCAGAGGAGGAAACCACCAGTTGCACGGGTTGGTTAATCGTTGATCTCCGCTTCGGCGATGGGCCATCCATGTGATTGGGCCGATGATGGTGATGGCGTTGCAAGGAGCTGGATGGATGTTGCAAGTGGATTAGAAAGTTGAATAAAAGAGATTATTTGTGGATTACTTACATTGTCATAGAGAACTATGTGGCCATTGCGGAGGCATCCACTGGTGCGCCGGTGGAGGATGCAGCGAGAGATCTATGGGTTGTCCCACACTATTCCCAGCTTCGTACGCAAATGCATGTCCGGGTTGTCCATTCTGTTGGCTCTTCGGACTTGCATACGCCATTTGGGCATGTCCGGGTTGTCCATTCTGTTGCCCCATCGGACTTGCATACGCCATTTGGAATAAACAAAAACCAACAAGTGGAAAGTGCTGGCCATCGCAGGATTCAATCTGGATGGCTCTAATTTCAGCTTTCTCCACATGAAAGTGGTAAGTTTATAAATATAATATAATAATAAATATGTCATATAATTTATTAACATTTATTTTACAGGCCTTGGGAACGCATCAGGTGATGGGAAGCGATGCGATGAACGATAGTTTATCGCAGGTGATCGCCGAGATCCACCGACGCCGGTTGGATCGTAACCTGATGGCCGTCATCTCTGACTGCTGCCCAGGAGTTCCCAGTGCTCTGGGACGTGAATCATCTCCGGAGTAATCTGGCGCAATCCCATCGATTCATGGACAGAGTGCTGGGACCCCTGGCCAAATTGGCAGAACTTTGTGTACCCACCGGTACATAAAGATGTGCAGGGGCGGATAGCACAAGAGGTTAAAGAAGTAAAAACGAGGGGGAACGTTGTGAGTTGCTGCGGACACCGCAACTCTACTGACTTAGGTCAGTATGAGTCTCCTCCGGCAGACGCCACAATTATGGTTACTCTAGCCTTAATAGTCTCTGAGATTTGTCAATATCCCCAGATTTGCATCCTTTGCGGGGGCGGAAGGGGGTGTGGCGAAATTTTGAAATAAACTCGTCTCGGTCCGATATATTAGGAGTGTGAATACCAAATTTGGTTGCTCTAGCTTTTATAGTCTCTGAGATCTAGGCGCTAATGTTTTACTCTAAGCAAAGCCAGCTATGCTACGTGTGTGAAAAAATGAAATTGTTTTCTTGATGCTGGCTATAATAATAATACGATCCAATTCAGATTCTGCAGTCTAAAAGATATGGTCTTTCTCTACGATTCTGCGATAATCGTATCTTTAAAATTGTGGATGCCACAGATTTTCGTCCTTTGTTGTGGCGGAAGTGGGCGGGGCGAAGTTTTGAAATATTTTTGTAGCAGTGACATATCACAGAAGTCTGGATCCAAAACATCGTTGCTCTAGCTCTTATAGTCTTTGAGCATTAGGCGCTGAAGGGGACGGACAGACGGACGGACGGACAGACAGACATGGCTCAATCGACTCGGCTATTGATGCTGATCGAGAATATATATACTTTATGGGGTCGGAAACGATTCCTTCTGAGTATCGGGTATAAAAATACCATTTTAGCATAGGACTCAGATCCGAAAACAGTTTTCCCTGCAAAACGTGAAATATATTTCGCTAGGGGCAAAGTGTAACAAGGATTGTAGCTCTGAAGGACGACAATCCATTCTTGCGAAACAAAAATTGCATCAAAACACGTCTTTTATCTATTAAATTCCGCTTTGCTTGAGAGCGTTTATTAAATTCACTATGTCGTCGACCCTGCCCATTCTTCATTTATTTTTTGGCGGTCAGATCTGTTTATCAGTTGAAGACTCAAACCAAAACCAAAATCAAATTTTGGTTCCACCGTGAACGCGTGTGCACCCATACATTTAAATATACTGGTGACACAACAGAAAACAGAATTCAAACCAGCATGAAAACTCTGAAAACGAAAAAGGCATACACTATATATTTCTGGCTGGCTATGGATGCCGAAGACCCTAGGATTCAGTTTTCTATGTTCGATCTATGTATTTACTGCTCGTCAATAGTTTAGACGCATCCTTGTATTAAAATTTTAATTATAACTTTTTATTTTTAAAGAACTTTGGTTATTTTATGATTGTTTAACTAAATTATTCAAAAAAGTAGGGTAATTTGGCAAAATATTTTTTTTAGAAAGTTTCTTAAAGCTGTGTTAAATAACGTACTAAAACTAATTTTTCAGATAAAAGTAACTTATATTAAAATTTAATTTTTAGATATTGTAAATCTTAGATTTATTAGAAAAAGAAAAAAAAAAACAATTTCAGGAATGAGTACTGCCTCAACTTCATACATATATCCGGTCCTTCATAGAACGATACAGGGTGTCCAGGTAGCTCGGGGAAATCTCGCTCCAAGCATGTTCAATTGTTGCAGTTAGTGTTTCCTTTTCTTCTTTCTAAATTTTTCAACAAATAATGCATGCCAAAGGTGAATAAAACAGATTATTTAAAAAAAAATCGGTGCCTCTGACTTATGACGCGCAATGTTACAGTACTATTTCTAAATATGTAGAAAATATGAGGTTACACGGCAGTACAATAATTAATTTAGTGGAAATTGTTGTTGACCTCAAATAAAACGGAGCACTAAAATAAGCCAATCTGTTAGGAAATTGATTGATTAATCGGATAAAATTATGTGGGCAGGGCTGACAGTCTTAGTTACTCAGAATTATTCAACAGAATATCAAAATTGACCAATAGTATGGATTTTCTCTTACATCTTATTAAGTTTCTATTTATTTGACCTTCTTCGCTAAAACCGTTTTTTAGACCAAATCCAAGAAAAGCAAGAGTTAAAATAAACCAGTCAAGTGGAAAATAAATTCATTAACTATATAAATTATGTGGGCATAGCTGGGCGTTCTTTCTAGCTAGTAATATTCGACGGAATATCAAAATATAGCAATATGAACGACTATCCTCTTTGTTTGTTTTGTTTCATCAATCGTATAAAACTATGTGGGCATGGCTAAATGCTCTATATAGCTAATAATATTTGACGGAACATCAAAATTGAGCAATATGGTTTGGTATATGCCAAGGGGGTATTTAAATTTTAAGCCGCATATAATGAAATTTTAATAATGTTAGCGCAGTTCAGGTGAAACATATAGTTGATTTTTTTTTTAAGTTCGGTGGAAAGATGGCCTGAATCTACAAGAACAATATTAACAATCGTTAATATTTTCCGCAATTTACCTCAAGTCGTTGAACTGCTTAAATAGAGGGGGCTTAAGTGGGCTAAGTACGGTTTGTCATCATACGAGACGCTATATTGTTGTTAAGGAACCAAAATTGAAACAAAAATATCAAAATCAAGTATCTAAAATAATCCAGTCAAGTAGGGCTGGGCAGGGCTAAGATATCTAGATAGCTAGTAATATTCCACAGAATATACACACAAAATCGAATATAGAGCTTGAATTCGTCAGTATATATACGGTATATTTTTAAAATGAGACGGTATATTTTGGTATATTTCTGAGGATCGGAGGTATGTTTTATAGATAAATCCGCGGTTACACGGTGTTTTTTTTCCCTGCATCTCGTCGTCTGGTTGTGTGTTTGGAGTGTTTAAAGGCTTTTAAATGTTTTAATATAATTAATAAGTTCGATCTGAAAATAGCTTCCAGGGCAGTAGAGGCTAGGCCGCGCACGGAAAACGAAAATTGTAGCGCGTCGTCTTCTACTTTGTGTAAAAGAGGCGATTTCGACGAGAATTTTTTTTCGACGGCAGCAACTGAATATACTTAAAACCTCGCAACCAATTAATAAGGTAAGCCGGGTCATAGATAGTTGAATATATAGCTGCGATTAAATTTGTATAGCGAAAACAGGCAGATATTTCCCTATGTGATTCACATTATTCGTGTAGAATTAAATTTTTCCCTGCGCGTCGTTTGTTTTTTGCTCGCAAATTAAAAATGGCGCTGCCGGTATAGACATCAAGAACTGCATTGCGCTGTACAAAAATGTCCCCGTCCCCACTCACCGCAATACAAGTAAATGTATGCACGCTTGCTGTCTAGTGCTTTTTATTGAAAAAAATAAATAAATGGGTGTCAATCGATTCGGTATAACTAAGTTCTGCTTAATTCGGCGAATGCCGGCAAAGACCGATTTACACACAGCACAGGCACGGCGGCACTTTTCCACGAACACACACAAATGCCGCCAAAGCCAGGGTTGTTAGACGCGTTAGACGCCCGCCAGTACAGTAGCAACAATCTTTTATTCAGATATGCATTCATGTGCATATTATATATGCCTTGGATTTTATTTTCATGCATTGTGATATTATAGTTTCCAAACTTTCGACTGCGCACCGTATCGTGCTTAAGTCTGGTGCAGTCGCAGACTCGTAGGAACCCGAGCGCGAGCTCGTCTGGGCAAGAATGTTCGGCATTGTCCCAATCCACGCGTGATTAATAGCTGTTTAGCGGAGCGTAGGACTTCTACTGGGTACAGTAACGTTGGTTAGATGTTAGATTATAGACGGCACTCAACTCAACAATTCATAATGAACAATTTATTTTAATACAAACAGCTCAACCACACCAGAAGCAGCAGCACGAGCAAGAGCAGAATCATGGAGAACGGAAACGCTTTGTCCATCGAGCAGATGTACCAGAAGAAGTCGCAGCTGGAGCACATTCTGCTGCGGCCCGACTCGTACATCGGCTCCGTGGAGTTCACCAAGGAGCTGATGTGGGTCTACGACTTTGAGAAGGCGCGCATGATCCAGCGGGAGATCGCGTTCGTTCCGGGCCTGTACAAGATCTTCGACGAGATCCTGGTCAACGCCGCCGACAACAAGCAGCGCGACAAGTCAATGAACACCATTAAGATTGACATTGATGCCGAGAAAAATGTCGTGTCCATCTGGAACAACGGCCAGGGCATTCCAGTAACCATGCACAAGGAGCAGAAGATGTATGTGCCGACCATGATCTTTGGCCACCTGCTGACTTCGTCCAATTACAACGATGACGAGAAGAAGGTCACCGGCGGCCGCAACGGCTACGGAGCGAAGCTCTGCAACATATTCTCCACCAGCTTCACTGTGGAAACAGCCACCAAGCAGTACAAAAAGAACTTTAAGCAGACCTGGGGATCCAACATGTCCAAGGCTTCCGATGTGACGGTAAACTCCCCCAGCCGCTTATCCTTTATACATATATTCTATAACCTTCTCCTCCCGCCCGCCATACAGATTAAGGACTTCAATGGGACCGACTTTACCCGCATCACATTCAGCCCGGATCTGGCCAAGTTCAAGATGGAGAGGCTGGACGAGGACATCGTGGCCCTAATGTCGCGTCGTGCTTTCGATGTGGCTGCCTCCTCGAAGGGCGTCTCCGTCTTCCTCAATGGCAATAAACTGACGGTGAAGAATTTCAAGGACTACATCGATCTACACGTAAAGAACCAGGACGATGATTGCGGCCAGCCGATAAAGATAGTACACGAGGTGGCCAACGAGCGATGGGAGGTGGCCTGCTGTCCCTCCGACCGCGGCTTCCAGCAGGTGTCGTTTGTGAACTCCATAGCCACCACAAAGGGCGGCAGACATGTCGACCATGTTGTCGACAATGTAATCAAGCAGCTCATCGAGGTTCTGAAGAAGAAAAATAAAGGTAATGCCCGCCTACTAAGCACTAGGATGCTATCGAACTAAATTATCTAATGGTTGCGTTTCCCCCGTTATTTCCCTCGGTTAGGCGGAATCAACATCAAACCGTTCCAGGTGCGCAACCATCTGTGGATCTTCGTGAACTGTCTGATCGAGAACCCCACCTTCGACTCGCAAACGAAGGAGAACATGACCCTGCAGGCGAAGGGCTTCGGCTCGAAGTGCACTCTGTCCGAAAAGTTTATATCCAGCTTGTCCAAGTCGGGCATTGTGGAGTCTGTGCTGGCATGGGCCAAATTCAAGGCCCAGAACGACATAGCCAAGACGGGGGGCAGGAAGTCGAGCAAGATCAAGGGCATACCCAAGCTGGAGGATGCCAACGAGGCCGGCGGCAAGAACTCGATCAATTGCACCCTCATCCTGACCGAGGGAGACTCGGCCAAGTCGCTGGCCGTCTCTGGCCTGGGCGTGATTGGGCGCAACTACTACGGGGTGTTCCCACTGCGCGGCAAGCTGCTCAATGTGCGCGAGGCCAACTTCAAACAGCTGTCTGAGAACGCCGAGATCAACAATCTGTGCAAGATCATCGGCCTCCAGTATAAGAAAAAGTATCTGACCGAGGACGATCTGAAGACGCTGCGCTACGGCAAGGTGATGATCATGACGGATCAGGATCAGGACGGCTCCCACATCAAGGGTCTGCTGATCAACTTTGTGCACACCAACTGGCCGGAGCTGTTGCGCCTGCCCTTCCTCGAGGAGTTTATCACGCCCATTGTGAAGGTCACCAAGAAGAACGAGGAGCTCTCTTTCTACTCGCTGCCCGAATTCGAGGAGTGGAAGATGGACACGCCCAATCACCACACGTACAACGTCAAGTACTACAAGGGTCTGGGTACTTCGACCTCTAAGGAGGCAAAGGAGTACTTCCAGGACATGGAGCGCCATCGCATCCTCTTCAAGTACGACGGACAGGTGGATGACGACAACATAATGATGGCCTTCTCCCGCAAGCATATCGAATCGCGAAAGGTCTGGCTCACCAACCACATGGACGAGGTGAAGCGCCGCAGGGAGCTGGGTCTACCCGAGCGCTACCTCTACACCAAGGGCACCAAGCACATCAGCTACTCGGACTTCATCAATCTCGAGCTGGTACTCTTCTCCAACGCCGACAACGAGCGCTCCATCCCCAGCCTGGTGGATGGCCTGAAGCCGGGCCAGCGCAAGGTCATGTTCACTTGCTTCAAGCGCAACGACAAGCGCGAGGTAAAGGTGGCCCAGCTGTCTGGCTCCGTGGCGGAGATGTCGGCCTACCACCACGGCGAGGTCTCCCTCCAGATGACTATCGTGAATCTGGCCCAGAACTACGTTGGTTCGAACAACATAAACTTGCTGGAGCCGCGCGGTCAGTTCGGTACTCGGCTGACGGGCGGAAAGGACTGTGCCAGCGCTCGTTACATTTTCACACTGATGTCGCCGCTGACGCGCCTCATCTACCACCCCCTGGACGATCCGCTGCTGGAGTACCAGACCGACGATGGCCAGAGGATCGAGCCATTGTGGTATCTGCCCATCATACCGATGGTTCTGGTGAACGGAGCCGAGGGCATCGGCACTGGATGGTCCACCAAGATAGCAAACTACAATCCCCGCGAGATTACCAGGAATCTGAGGCGCATGATCAACGAGGAGGAGCCCTTGCCGATGCATCCGTGGTACAAAAACTTCACCGGACGCATGGAGTACATCTCAGACGGACGCTACGTGCATACTGGCAACATTCAGATCTTGCCCGGCGAACGAGTCGAGATCACGGAACTGCCCATCGGTGTATGGACGCAGAACTACAAGGAAAACGTCCTCGAAGCGCTCTCGAATGGCACGGAAAAGGTCAAGGCCATTGTGTCGGAATATCGTGAATACCACACGGACACCACAGTCCGATTCGTGATCAGCTTTGCCCCGGGCGAGTTCAGACGCATTCAGTCCGAGGACGGCGGATTCTATCGCGTGTTCAAGCTGAGCTCCACCCTGTCGATCAATCAGATGCACGCCTTCGATCAGAACAATTGCCTGAGGCGGTACGCCTCGTCCACGGACGTGCTGAAGGAGTTCTACCAGCTGCGCGTGGAGTACTACGGCCGCAGGAAGGAGTATTTGGTGGGCCAGCTGACGGCATTGGCGGACCGACTGAGCGATCAGGCTCGCTTTATTCTGGAAAAGTGCGAAAAGACGCTGGTGGTGGAGAACAAGCAGCGCAAGGCCATGTGCGACGAGCTGACGAAGCGCGGGTATCGCCCGGACCCAGTCAAGGAGTGGCAGCGCCGCATCAAGATGGAGGATGCCGAGCCGGAGAACGAGGAGGAGGAGGACGAAGAGGGCGAACAGGCGGCTCCGAGCAGCAGCAAGAAGGATGTCAAAAAGGAGGTCGACCCCGACAAAGCCTTTAAGAAGCTAACGGACGTTAAGAAGTTCGACTACCTCTTAGGCATGTCCATGTGGATGCTGACCGAGGAGAAGAAGAACGAGTTGCTCAAGCAGCGCGACTATAAGCTGAGCGAGCTGGACAACCTGCGCAAGCGGACTCCCCACCAGCTCTGGCTGGATGATCTCGATGCCCTGGAGCAGAAGTTGAACGAGGTTGAGGAGAAGGAGCGACTCGAAGAGCAGGGCGTCAATCTGAAGACAGCCAAGGCCATGAAGGGCCAAAAGACTACCACGGCCAAAGGTAGGAAGGTCAAAGGCGCGGCGGCGGCTCCCACCGGGGACGTATTCCCCGACCCAGATGGCGAGCGTGTCGAGTTCAAGGTAACCGATGAAATTGTCAAGAAGACAGCAGCGGCGGCCAAGCTAGCCACCAGAGCCAAGAAGGAGCCAACGGGCAAAGCAGTCAAATCTGAACCGGGTGAAACTAAGGTCGAGGAGGTGGACGAGTTCGATGCTTTGGTCGAGGCTGGACCAAAAATATCTCCAAAGGCCAAAAAGGCACCAGCCGTCAAAAAGGAGCCGGCCGCCAAGAAGGAACCGGCCGAGAAGAAGCCGCGCCAGAAGAAGGAGAATGGTGGCGCCTTGAAGCAGGGAAAGCTTGATTTCAGCAAGGCCAAGGTGAGCATAGGACATCGAATATAATTCTTATTTATTAATTAATTAAATGTTATATCGCTCCTAGGCCAAGAAAGGACATGGCAATGACAGCTCGGACGATGTCGAATGCGTGGAAGTCGCGGAAGTGGAGCCGCGAGCAGTGCGTCCTGGTCGCAGGGCGGCAAGCAAGAAAATCGATTACAGCGCTCTCATCTCCGATGAAGAGGAATCCGCTGCCGCGGCATCTGATGGGAAGACAAGCGGCGGCGAGGATGATGACGGCGATTCTCCCATTAAACGACCGGTCAAGCGCACACGCGACGAGGACAGCAGTAGCGGATCCAAGAAGAAATCCCAGCCAAAGAAGAAGCGCGCCGTTATCGAGAGCGATGAGGACGATGTAAATGATGATGATGATGATGATTCCGATTTCGATTTCTGAGGGAAACGAAACGCACAAGAAAATCGTTTCAAGGTCTCCTGTTTCGCATAATTCTATGAAAAGTATTTGGCAAGCATCTCGGAGACTGTCCTGTCCTGTCCCATTGGCAACAATCCGATGGCTTGATTGTTTATACTACCCATTGTCCGCTGAGTCTCCTGCTCCTGCTACCCCCCGATCATCAATCAGTGTTTATTTTTGGTGTTTTAATTTGTATTTTAGGAAACCACTTCATTACATTCGTCTACTGTAGCTGTTCTCAGTCGGATAGCAGCGAATAATCCACCAGCAGAAATACGCATACACATACTATCGATGTATTAACATGTTTTATAAACATAGTTTTTAGAGTCGTACAATTTTTTCATGTAAATAAATAATTTTACCCAATTCGAGCGCGACTCCTCTCTTTCCATCAGCCAAAGCCATGATGGCACGTCTGAGGACTGCGTGAACGGCCAAGCGCAAGCCGTTCATCGCAGCAAATCTCATTAGAACTAATTGAGTTCTCCTAGTCGCTAGTTGATCGATCTCGCGCTGATGGATTTGGTTATTTCTCTAGGTAAAAACAAAGTGCTAACCATATCAAAAGATTATGACCACATTAAAGGGAAAACAAAAAGAGTAGTCGCATTTTTGACGATTGAAGATACTTTCCGGGGATTGGATTGGGTAATTTAATTGTGGCGTGTGATTCAAAAGGTTCATGTCGGAGCGTTGTTTGATCTAGTGTAGTATTGGCCGGAAAGTGCGGTTTTCAGTGTTTTCCTTTGGGCAGAGCATGGTTTTATTCAAACTATCGGGTGCCGAAATTAAAATAACTATAAATAAGTCATACGCATGTATTTTCTCCAACAAAGGGGAATTTGATCAAATTTAAACTGATTTTGAGTCATAATTTGGGACCAGTTTATGCATCGACTTTATCCAGAAATAGCTTAAATGTATTTTTGATGTTGTCATTGGCGAACTGCGGTTTTTTCAGAGCCTCGCGAAGGGCGTAGCGGCAACTTTTCACATCGTACTCTGTCTTGAAGGCCTCTTCGCAGCGCAACAGGCCCAACTGCTTCAGGACATAGTTCACGACACGAGTCTCCTGCTTGGTTTTTACGGCATAGTCGAAGGTGGCCTGGAAGAGCGAAGCGGCGAGCTCTAGAGCCGGCTGAGATAACTGCGACAAATGCGCGCACTTCAGGGTGGTGAAGACGAGGAGCAGCAAATGGTTGTCATCGGTGAATTGCTGTGCAAGAAAATAGAGAAGTGAAAGAAAGGCGTGTCAGCGGTGTGGTGAGGCATGTGGGACAAAGGCCAACTCACATTTATAATCGCCTGTAGGGCCTGCAGCTTATTCTCGTCGTCGAGGGACTCGAACTGTTGAAGGGAGCAGGGCGTCTGGCTCAGGCAGAACTGTTCGGGGTTACAGCTCTTGCTGTCGCTGGCTTTGGAGTTTATCGACTCGTTGAACAACTGAATAGATAGATGGGTTACAGGAGAATCATTCGCTTCGGTGCATTGTCGCGGTAACAAACCTTTGTGGTGTATGCAGTGGTGGTCACATAGGCGGTCTCTTCGGCGTACTCCTCGTCATCTTCGTCTGCCTCTTCGGTCGTGTCATTGGCGTGCTCGTGCTCGTCGTACTCGTCGTTTCCTTCATCGTACTCGTCGCCATTTTCCTCCTCTTCCTCCTCCTCCTCCTCAATAGACTCTTCGCCCTCCATCTCACCCTCGTCATTCTCTAAAGGTTGCAGAGCAACAGCATTCGGATACATGGACATCTGCTCGATGATCTGCGCGCAGCCCTCCTCTCCGAAGCAATTGCTATCAATGTTGAGCACACGCAGCTTGGGCTTGTTCTGGATGGCCGTAACCAGCACCAGACCGCCATCAGAGTTGATCTCATTGGAGCTTAGGTCAATCACCTCCAAATCATAATTCGAGTTCTCCAAGGCCTCGGCGATTTGGTAGGCGCCATTCGTGCCTATAAGGCAGTCGCCAAAGTTGATCTCCCGAAGCCTGTGTGGCATAAGTTGCAGGGGGAATAAGTAATTTCATTAGCGAGGATTCCATACAGTACTATACTTACATTGTTAGGCTTTTAATAACTTCGGCGATCTCATCAGCTCCCTTGGACTTCAGGGTGTTGTCGTACATATTAAGCACTCGCAGGTGTGGATTCGCCTTAAAGGAATCAGCCAGAGCTTTAACCCCTTCCAAGTATATAGAGTTCTGTAGCAGGACAATCTCCTGGAACGTTTTCAGAGTGGCAAAGGCGTTGGCCATTGCCTTCGCGCCGGCATCCTCTAGGCGATTACGTCCGCCCATAAAGAGACGGAGCTGGAGCGGCGTTCCCGCCTTTTTCGCATTAGCATGAAGATCGATGAGAGCCCTGGACAACATGGCACCGCCCTCGGAGCCAAGGCCACAGTTGTAGAGGTGCAGCTCCTGAAGCGAGTAACAGACTGGCGAGCGCAGAAACGCTTCCAGTCCACGCATGCCATTGGGGCCGAGGGCATTGTCGCTCAGATCCAAAACCGTCAGTTTTGCTTTTGCTTCAATGAGACCAGCTCCAAGGTGCTTTAACGCGTCTGGAATTTCATTTTTAAGACGGCTCGTAAACATATTCTTCCACAGCGCCTTGCGGAACTCCGGATGACGCTTCAGGGCCTCCCCAATGGCAATGGCTGCCTCCACTCCCAGCGTGTTGCCATCAAGGATCAGGAAATGAACCTTGGCTTGGTTGTTGAGAGCATCCACCACGTCCTGAACTGTGCAACAGCATAAAGAGCGTAAATTTCAGTCTGCAATGTTTGGCGTCGTTCGCCACTCACCATCCGATGCAGAGTTCCAGGTTTTGCCCTTGTCCTGGAATGATATGCCCTGTTCTTCGGTAATTTGGGCCGCCATGCTCGCAAAGTTGAAGGTAGACATCGACATGATTTAACAATTTTAATATTACTAATTTAATGACACTGTACTTAATGGACGCTTGGGACGCCGGCTGCAAAATTCGTTTTAACCTCGCAAAAAATAGGCGCTAGAATTGGCATTATATACGGATATACCGTAAATATACCGTCGCTTCAAATTTGACCTAAAAAATACCTAAAAGTACTAAAAATACCGTACTAAAAGTACGTACTAAAAAATAACGCTTTTCCGGTATTTTCCGGTATTTTTCAGTTCGCCGCAATTCGCTTTGGCAACAATGAGTCTCATTCCATACACAAATGTTGCGCATTCCATACACAAAAGTTGCGGCAACATTTACTTGAAAACCGTTTTTTGGTCAAAATAAAATACATAAAGGTAATTAAAAGAAGCAATCTTGTAGAAAATGCATTTATCTATGGAATAATGCTAAGTGGGCAAATCTATATAGCTTGAAATATAGGCAATACCCGATTCGCCGCAGTTTCGCTATTGCAACAATGAGTCCCATTCCATACACAAACATGTTGCTAATTCCATGCACACATACCCTGGGGCAAATGGATGTTATAGAATTGTGAATACGTTTGTCTTCCAAGGCTCCGTAGGTATCAGGATCGACATAAGTATACACAGGATACTAATAATGTACTTGAATATGTCTAAAGAATATCAATTTGAGAAAAGGTCTTAATAAATTTCGTTTGATCTTCATATAAAATTAGCGAAATAGGGTGTACAAAGGGCTATACACGCATCACGTCTTTAAATACCAGCAACATTGCGACTCTTTTTTGTTGAACTTTTTCGTTTAAACCTTTTTTTACAATAAATACAATAAAAGCAAGGATTAAGAATACACCAGTTAAATAGAAAATTGATTCATCAATCGTATAAAATTATGTGCGCATGGCTAAATGTTCTATATAGCTGGGAATATTCGACGGAATAAAGAATTGAGCAATTGGAATGATACTCGTTTGTTTATGCTACTGTTGTATGAACATAAGTGCCTTGTGCGTCTGCCTACAGTGGCTTCAAATGACAGTAAGTCCTGATGTCACAGGGCACTCCCAAAAACAGCCGCTGTTCCACGGCTATTCCGTGCTTTCCACCTTCTTCGCATTTACAGTTAAAGTCGAGCCACAGAGTCTGCAGCGATGCCGAAACGACCAGCGGCGCCCTTTGGCGCAGTTGTGGCCCACTACTCCCTGCCTCAGCCACCAGAAGACGAATTTCATAGGAAAACAATTGAAAAAGGAGGAAAAAGAACAGACCCTGGACGGCATCTGGACACCGGGTTCTTCAGGATTCTGGCGTCTGGTGCGATGGAAAGACGTGGGGAATGGGGCCTGTTCTCGCGTCGGTCCGATGCGGAGGCTCATCTCATCGAGATCACCCGCGTGGATGGCAGCCGTCGTGCTTTGTGGAAGGGGGGTGGAGAAGCCGCGTTCCCTCGTCCTCGAGACGCGTCGCGGGTGCATGTACTTGAACAGAGTCGCCTCGGACTCCATAAGCCGCGCCACGATGGACGAATCCGAGCTGCAACCATAACCGGGAGCTCTGGAGCGACTGGAGCACCGGGGACTTTGATCAAGACTGGCCAGAGCCGCAGCCTCGCTAAGGACGTGGCCTGCATCCCTCCCAGCTACGACAGACTGCCCGAATTAGCTGCTGCCGGTGTCCGGCAAGATTATCCGTGCCCAGGTGGAGCTCTCTCTCCCTATTCAGCTGTGTTCTAAAACGTTGCCTCTTATAGCTTCCTGGGCGAACTCGCCGAAGCCTCGAAGCGTCTGCTCTTCTGGACAGATGTCAGCAGCCATCAGGCCATCATTCGGGCCCGAGTCGATGGCAATGAGCATGTGGACCTGGAAGAAGTCACGACTCTGGCCTTAGGCCAACAGTCCGATATCCCATGCGTATCGATGTTAGTAAGCAACCAATATTGGACACCTTTGGACACTTGTAATCTCCTGTTCCCCCTTTACAGAAAAATCCGTGCTTCCATGCACATCTCGCAGGTCTCTGCCTTCGGGAGATTTGTGTCGGACGATAAGACCGGACTGGAGAGGAGCGCAATCACACCTGTCTGCACAGTCGCACAAAGTGTTTCCACATCTGCATGGCCAGCGGGGTATGACACGCAGTATTCACGACGTATGCTCGTGCCAGATTCTGATGCTCTGATGCTACTGGAGGGCAAGGAGAACTACGGCGTCTATCCGGACAGATAATTTTAAGTGGCGGGAGTAGTGACATAAAGAACGACTGTATATCCGCCTTCTGGCGCTGTGACGAAAGGACTGCCCGGCGGAGCAGTTCAGCTGACAGTCAACCGAGGGCAGAGACAAGACTCTGATCTGCGATGGTACCACCAGTGACAACTGTAACAATGTCCACGATGAGGCCGACTGCTGCAAGCGACCTGAGAGTTTCAGTGTCCCATCAACCTGGTGAGTGGAAAGACACGATATCTGCCCAAATTCTTAAACTAACAATATTCTACTCCACCTTCCCACAGCTTTGCATCGGCCACCCTGCTCTGCGATGGCCGTGCCTCGGATATTTTCGCGCACCGAACCAAAAATCGAGCTTTAATGGCTCCATCGAAGAAATTAAGTAACTAGACTTAAGACCGCTAGACCGCTTAGAAATTAAAGACTTTAAAAATGCAATAGAGAACCTGCCGGCTATGCCATATGAGGTGCAACGCGACCAAGCTGCGGATGAAGATGGAGCGAAAGACTATGGATGAGTATGCCAGGCTACTACTACCACAATGCCTTCTACAAGGACCCAAGGTCCGAAGGCGACACCAGTTTAAGGTACGCGCTTGTCCCCAACGAACGAAGGACAAGTTGCTCAGTATGCCAAAAGCGGAAGAGGATGATTCGCCCGAAGAGTTTCAGCATGAATAGGCAAAGTAAGTATAAGTACCACCAATTGTATGACACATTTTTGGCTAATTCTCGACCATTGACAGATTGGGAAAGTTATTTTCTCCGGTAACCTTCTACGCCTTTGCAAAGTACGCGGACAAGGAAACAAAACCGAAACAAATAAGCACGGAAGAAGTCAAGCCTTCTACATATATTCCCTGAGGCAAATCCTGCTTTTATGGCGAAGTTGCTAGCATCTGGCTATCCCGTTAACGAAACAGCAGTCAAGTTTTTAGCGGAGTATGGTCGGAGAGGCATAGGGATCCGTGTACGTCGGACCAGATAGAGCTACGTCGGAGCTCAGTTAAAGGTTGAGCTGGCCAACGCTTTCAGCAATCTTGCTGGACCGGATTTATTTATTTATGGTAATAAACTCATTCCACACCACCCAAGAGGTCGAGTTTTTGGCCCCTTTTTTTTTAAAGTGGTATCCCCAATAGGCCTAATCCACTATATTTACTTTTAGGACGGGGCATCGATCGTCGGGGTGTCTGAAAGTATCAAGTTATTAACAATAAATGTAATATTAATCGTCGAATTTGTACTTCGACAGGACCTAGGGCTTCCAGCCAACTTGCAAATTAAGTAAAACTTTGAAAAAGAGATTTTCTACGCGGTTCCTTGAGCTAATAGAGCTAGAGTGCCGACTAAGCGAACTATAAAATAGAGAGCATCCTCTTGAAATTCATTAGGCTGGCTAATGTGGGATGCATAATCTACAATGTCCGCCGCAAGCCTTTTAATGATGAAACCCATTGCTTCGAGCTTATTGGAATTTATGTCCCTTAGCTCCAATGGGGTTGCGCGCGGAACCAAAAAAAATTTGTCAACCATCATTCTGATGTTGAATAGCTCTGTTGTATAATAATCATGATACTCCGTGGGGACTATTGGGTGATAATCTGGCAAATTATCAAAGACGTCCCTCCAATTCGTTGGCGTGAAGCTCGAATTGTATAAATTTCTAAGAATGATATCGGAGAAGGGCGCTTTTTTGCTGTTGTAAAAAATCCTATCTAGATGGGGGAAATCCCACAAAAAGCTTTTTCATCCCAGGCTCCAAAGAAGACTTTTTCTTGTTATTCTGGATTTTTATCGAATAACTATTATTATAATTGTTATTCTTGATTTTTATTGAATAACTATTATTGGGGTATTATTAGGGTATACAAAGTCGCAACATAGCGACTGTTTTTTTTGTTGAACTATTTACAATAAATACAATAAAAGCAAGGATTAAAATTTATCCAATCTTGTAGAAAATTTATTCATCAATGGGATAAAATTATGTGGGCATGGCTAAATGTTCTATGTAGCTAATAATATTCGACGGAATATCAAAATTGAACAATATGATTTCCAATCCGTAACGGAGAACTATTAACCTATTATAAGCCAAGGGGGTAATCATTTTAGCGCAGTTCAGATGAAAGATTCGTGGGGTTTGGCAACTTAAAGGGAAGTATAGGATGGATCTATAAGAATTTACAATCGTTAATATATTCCGCCATTTACCTCGTGTAGTTGAACTATTTAAATATAGGGGGCTTAAGTGGGCTAAGCTCGGTTTTCCATCATACGAGTCGCTATATTGTTGTTCAGAAACCAAAATTGAGGCAAAAACAAGCAAAGCCAAGTATTTAATGTGCCAGTTAAGTAGAAAATTGATTCATTAATCGGATAAAATTATGTGGGCATGGCTAAATATTCTTTCTAGCTAGTAATATTCGACGGAATATCAAAATCAAGGAATATGTAAAATAGAGCTTGAATTCGTTAGTATATTTACGGTATACTTTTAAAATGAGACGGTATATTTTGGTATATTTCTAAGTTTCACAAGAAATCCGCGGTCACACGCCAAATGTTTAAATAAAAAAGTCAAACAAAACATGCAAAACAGCATAGAATTAAGCTGAAATACAGGCTGAAAATGTGCTGCAGCGACACCCATTAGAGAAATTCGGCCGGCGGCTTATCTAGGAAAGTGCTCAATATGTTGATTCTTCTGCGTCCTACACACTGGCTAGTACTCATCGCCCTTTGCATTCTGACCTGTGCTGGCTATTGGTTGCTCTGGTCTGAAATACGCCTGGAAAATGGTTCGTTGTGGTTCTGTTTCCCCCTTATCTGCGATCTTCATCTTACTAAATTGATTGTTTGAGCAGCCTTCAAGCCGTTGACCAAGGTGACGGAGGGTGGCAGTGCGCTGGAACAATCATTGTCTGCTCCTGTGGCGACCGCCGCTGTGGACAGCTTCGACTACGAGGAACAGCTGGTGGTGCTCTATAACCGTGTGCCAAAGACGGGCTCGACCAGCTTCGTCAACATAGCTTACGATCTGTGCAAGCTCAACAAATACCATGTTTTGCACATTAACGTAACTGCCAATATGCACGTTCTGTCGCTTCCAAACCAAATCGCCTTTGTGCGAAATGTCTCCAAGTGGCATGAGATGAAGCCGGCGCTCTACCACGGCCACATGGCGTTTTTGGATTTCTCCAAGTAGGATCAGTATCATATGTCATGAAACCTCTACTTAAGTGTAATTTTTCAGATTCCAAATAGCCCACAAACCCATCTATATAAACCTAGTGCGCAAGCCCCTTGACAGACTTGTCTCCTACTACTACTTCCTACGTTTTGGCGACAACTATCGACCGAATTTAGTGCGGAAGAAGGCGGGCAATAAAATTGTGAGTACTTAGCGGGCATCCATCAACAATCACATCCACATTACTTCTCTCGATTCTGTACATAGACGTTCGACGAGTGCGTAGTGCAGAAGCAACCCGACTGTGATCCCAAGAACATGTGGCTGCAGATTCCCTTCTTTTGTGGCCACGCTGCCGAGTGCTGGGAACCCGGCAGCGATTGGGCCCTCGACCAGGCCAAGCGCAATCTGGTCAACGAATACTTTCTAGTCGGAGTCACAGAGCAAATGTATGAATTTGTAGATCTGCTGGAGAGATCGCTACCCAGGTAACGCTGCCCTTTTATCGCTTTGAATCCAAATCACATTGTAAATGCAACTCTCTGACTTCAAGAATCTTCCATGGCTTTCGTGAGCATTATCAAACCTCTAATAAATCTCATTTACGCGTGACGTCCTCAAAGCTTCCGCCCAGCGAATCCACGATCAAAAGCATACAGAAGACCAAGATCTGGCAAATGGAGAACGACCTCTACGAGTTCGCGCTGGCTCAGTTCGAGTTCAACAAGAAGAAACTGATGCAGCCGGACAACAAGCATCTGCAGAAGTTCATGTACGAGAAGATTCGACCAAAATGATTGCGTAGGCGCAGCAGGAGTCGCAGGCGAATCAAGCCGACTTCCGTTGTGTAGAGTTGCGTTGTGTCCACTCCCCTCCACTCTCCGATGCTTTTGCTGTAAATATCCAAATTAGATTTGATCTGTACTTAATAGCAAGTGAAACGACTTTGTGAAAGACACTAAAGACTTAAGCATTGAATATCGTTGGCATATAAATCGAACATTTTGTATGTATGTAGTCTAAGCCTCAAAACCCCGCTGTGTAACACTCGAGAGCAGAGCGCTTTTCTAGTTGATCGTAAGCAATATCTAGCAACAATTGAATGCACAATATCCTTTGTTTAGTAAAATGTACTCTTTTATACTCGACAATACAAAGATAATTCGTAGTTGGAACCATTGATCTACAGTGTATCGATTTTCCGTAGTTTTCCATAAGTGTAACGATATTTATTGATATTGGACTTGGCCGTAACGTAAGCAACTCTCTCATTAATTGTAACTCTCTCTGTAATCTAACTTAAGCTAAAGATTATTTGAGGGTCTCTCTCTCTCTCATCGAATTTGACTTTCAAATTAAATGCATGTAAATAATTGATAACAATTGAATGTCTATTGTTCTGCTCTGCGTATCAGCAGCTGTCGGCCAGATCGCGTGTTTGTTAATTGATTAATGCCATCATTGGGTTACTTTCAACTTTCAGCAACATGTTGTACTTTGCATAAGCTAATTGCAATTGGTTGCCTGGCAAAATCCCGCTGGACTTTAAGAGCTGACGTAGCTGTACCTCCCGAATGAAGGTGACTGACTGACTGACAATAAGACGGACTGGCGGTGGCTCAGGTGGGTCGGACAGTACAGAATAGGCTCAGCTCAGGCAAGTGCAAGAAAATGAAATTGAAATACATTTGGAAACAACACAACAACACAGCGAAATACTTAATTAATTGCTCGAGCTTGAAACCAAAGGCAAATGAGTTTGCGTTGCTCGTCACCCGTCAGTTGTTCATTTCATCGTGGATCGCGGGCACGCAGGTCTACATCTGATCGCCACTAGACTTCGGCACGTCTCGCTTACTATATCCAAGACTTGAGAGATCTGGAGGTCTTGAACCAGCAATCCCAGTAGTTGAAATTAATCGCGCGCTGGCCTTTGATTACTAAAGTATTAACTACACTACAGCTGACCGACCGACCGTTTAAGCGACCCGTAAGAGAGATTTATAACAAGTTTTACAAAGATACCCGTACATATACCACATCTATGTATGTATAAGAGTAGGAGTACAAGTACTCATATATGGCAGCCGTACTTACTGGTGATTAGTCTCTAAACTCGTTCTGTTTTCTGAGCGCGTTCAAAAGTTCAAGTCTAATTGCGTTTATGTCGCGTATGTTATGTAAAAAGCCACCAGTAGAAGATGAACAACACTGCGAGAAACTGCCATTAAATTATATTATGTCATATATATTATGTGCATATAACAGCCTAGAATGTTAACAGCAAAATGTTAAGTGAAGTGCATATCAGACTACGGAAATTGTAGTACTTTGTACATATATATACATATATATATCTATTATATGGAACGTGTAAGAAAATACCCCACTTCTTCTATTGCATATTTAAGCTATCTTCGATTAGGAAAAGTGACCAAAAAGAAGATTGATTGAATACATTTCTCACGATCAAATCAAATATCAATGATATAACGTGTAGTTGTGGCACAGATCTTATTATTTCAAGACTAGAAATTGCTTTGAAATACTTAAAATGTTGGACTTTTCTGTATGCCTTTTATGTCGTTCAACCATTTTTCGAAATAAGAAATGAGAAAAAAGTGCGTGTAACATGTATATGTATATGTATATATAAAATGCTTGTTCAGTGCTTTCCGACCCAAGCACACGCGCGACTTTTGAACTTGATTTATGAAAAGAAAACCCAAGACAAGGCAATCGGTAGTTCGTAACCGTGCTCTTTGCCACTGCCACTTTCCTCTCCCTCCGGCTACTTTTAATGGCCTATTAAATGAGGCTTAATATGACAGACTATTCTGACTGGACTGGCGCTCGTTTCTTGATAATTTTGATATAACATACATACATACATATATGTATGTACGAGTACGTGTAATGAGCGTTATTCATAGGCCGGTGGGGTATAAAATGATTTGACAAGCTGCTTTATATTTCCAGTCTATAAACGCGATCCGAGCTAGATATACAATCTGCACCGAGCCCAAGAAGGATCTCTGTACAAACACTTGGATCCCCTACATTTGGATTAGCTGAGCCTTAATTACCTTTCGGTGAGTTTGAGTCTCAACTTATGCACATATCTCACGCTTTCATTACCTCTCTCTGTGGTTTCTTTTGTTCGCTTCGGGCTGTTTTGCTGCTCTTTGAGCTTGAACAATTAGAAATTCAATGTCCGTCTGAGAATAACATAACGATACTCATCCCTCACTTGAGCTTTGTCCGCTAAGCCCCTCTACAGGGTATCACAGCTCAAGCCAGATGTTTGTAACGAACAGCAATGAGATATGTACATATGTACATATGTATGTATATCTAAACAGTGTAACATAGTAAGAGTATCTCAAAGTGAAGCTTTCAAAGTACTATCTCACAGAGCTCCTTTAAGAAAAACTAATATTAGTACACCAATTCGGGTACATTAACTTTTGGTGGTCCGCGAAGTGCACGGGTATCGTATCGTATAAACGTCGGTGCTTCAGCTTTCGTGCATTCGTGCATTCGTTCTCCTTTCCTTTTTCATTTCGTTTTTTTGCGAGCATTCCTCCATCCCCCAGCCGGTGCTGTGCTGGTAGATGGTGGCTGGTCGCTGGCGACTGGTTCGCTGTCCGCTCGAGAATCTCATGTAAGGTTCAGTAACTTACTGGCATTGACCCATTTCGAGTGTGCTCGAGCTCGAAGACCGGCGCAGCGGTGCAGCGACTTGTACTGCTTAAAATATTTAATTTATTTGCATTCCTAATATCGTAAGTTGCTGGAGCATCGCGTGTTCGTGAGTGGTCCTATAGCCGACGAGCATATCGCATTTGACTGGCATCAGCATGACAATGCTGAGCACTGCAGCCGCAGTCCGCGGCCTGCCCCAACAGCAAACGTCAGCGGCGGTGGCTCTGTCTCGTGTGGCGGCTTTCGATTCGGGTGAGAAACAGTGAAGCCTCGCATGGCGTACAAATTGATACTACCTATATATCTTATGCATCTTTACTATGTGCACATACATATGTATATTTGCATGTGTACGCTGCTTCTATACACCTTCCTACTTGCATGTGTATGTGTACTGTTACCGCATTCCTGCTCTATTGATTTTATTTTTTGGTTAACAACACCCGCTACGCTACTCGTGTACTACTTGGTTTCCGATTTCCCGATTTCCCGACTTTCCATTAAAATACATACATATGTACTATACACAGTTCTCAGAACGAGTACTCATTATACTCGAATGGCATTTCCATCGGGTAAAGTGACGGGACGGTGACGTGAGTCAGTGCTCAAGAAATGCGCCCGACTAGCGGGTATTCCATAGTCGGCAGTACCTTTAACAGGTTATTGTGAATTTCACAGCCAAAAAAACTCGTACTTGTACATATGTACATACATTAATATGTACATATGTATGTACCTTTTGACAGTTTTTTGCAGAGTAAGGTCAAAGCACTTTTTACATTGGAACTGCCCTTGCCATTGTCAGGTCTTAAAACTCCAGTATCTTCCTTTATTTTATGTCTTTTGTTTTTGCCACTTCAACGAAGGGCATTGCATTCGGTCTTAACCCCAGTCCAGCGTCTCTCTGGTGCTTTGGGAACTCTTTACGTCAGTCACACTGTTCTCGGTTTTATGGCAGCCAGCTTGTGGCCGTCTCTCCGTCGCCAGCACAGCTCAGATAAACCAAAAATAGACCAAAAACGAAAACGAGAGTATAACGAAGCGTGAAACCATGAATGGGACTCAAGTCTCTGCACGTGCGATCGTGCGATTGTGCGATTGAGCGATTGACCGACTTGCCCAAAAGCAGGCGAGGCGCCCAGAGATCATGTCTACGGCGTGAGGTGATGGTCTAGGCTGCGGCTTGGAGACGTGCTAATTATACAAAATATGCCTCGAATATGATTGCTGGACAGGTGTAAGCACTAATTGGCATAGAGCGTAGCGCATCAGCATTGAAACCGGATAGTACAACGTGTTCAGGGTCAACGTCAATTCATGGGAAAGGCCTACCAGCCACTACAGACTACTGACTACAGACTGCTCTGCTGTGCTCCACAATTACACTCGAAGAAAACCGAATACGAGTACGAATAGTGGTAGGTCCATGAAATATGCCAGCAGCAGCACAGCATCAGCAGCTGAGAAAACTTTGAAACTGAAATCGAAACCGGCTTTTGCTGGCAATATTTCCCAATGGTGATGCACCCAACTTAGCCCCGTCTGTCTCTCTTTCTGACTGGCACACGTGAATGTCATGCTCAAGTTCAGGCCAGACCGAGCTTCGCTCTCCCAGCTCCAGCTGTAGCTCCGGCTGCGACTCTCTTCCGAATCCAGTTTCGATTCTTGGCCTGGCATAAAATCTCCGCAGCGCGCTTTTGGCCACAACAGTTTCATCTGCGCTTTCGGCCCCGTTGCACGCGTTTCTCCTAGCCCCCTTTTTGTGGCCGCCTTTGGCCAAAATCGCGGTTGTCGAAGTCGCTTACCAAACAAGTTTCCATTTGTGTTGTGCTCTGTGCGTACTACTTAAATTATTCGACTAAACTCTGTATTTCCCAGCCCCAGACACCCATGCACCCATAAGCTATGCATAATTATGTGATATCTGCGAATTGTTTTGATTCGCCAAGCTCCACCTCCGTATGAAAGATCTCGAAGGTATCACCTGGCGGCCCATCTAATCAAAGTGATTCAATGTCAGGCACAGGCGCAGGCACATGCCTCTGATGCTAATTTCCAAGTCTTTTGTTTTGGTTCATGAAGATGTTGGATCTGCGCCACAAGCTGAACAGATTATGGTGTTTGTTCCAATGGTTCCAATTCATTTGAAATATATACATACTATGGTATACACCATACCATACAGATAGATACTTATGTATACTTAATCGAGTACTTGCTTGCACTCGTAATTTAAAACTTGTTCCACCAGAATCTACCCAAGTAGAACTTGTCAAGAGATTCAGCTTTGAATTCCGTTCAAGGTGTTTCGCATTTCGTCTGATCAAAGATCACCTGAGGCCGAGCCTGAGTCGGAGATTAGCAAGAATTGCATTGCGGATATAACCCTCAACGGGAGTCCATGGCTTCCGATGCTGCAAAATCTTTGATCCGCTTTGCTTTGCTTCAATTCAGCTTCCGATACCCATGCGAATGTCAAGGTGAAGGTGAAGGTGAAGGTGGCTGGCCAGGTGATCAATAACGCGATCAATAAGTGGGGAAGTCTTCGATGCAGTTTCCAAGCCGGTTCCGATTCGATTGTCTAATTAATGAATACAAATTCTCTCTCCTCCTACCTATAAATAGAGTGCACAATTTGTCACAAGGCAAACAGAGATTATTGTGTTCGACACAGCACAGCTATTGAATATTATTACAAAAGAATTTTAGCAGAGAAAAGTAGAGAGCAAATTGCAAAATGAGTAAGTAATTGAAGCGTCATTACACAAATATGGCTAACTAATTGCCAACGTTGCTAATAAATAGTCACTTACTTGGTAGCTTGAAGTTTCAGAGGGGCTTAGACCCTAAACACACACTTCAGAGCTCAAAGTACAGAAGCTTTCGCTTGTTGCATACTAACAGAATTTATTCTCCCTTGCAACTGGTGCGATGTTCTTCCAGGAGTGCCCACAATGCTGTCGGATATCGATCAGCTGCCCTCGATCCAGCTGGGAGAGTACACGCTCCAGTTCGAGCTGGGCGAGCCCACGGCCATGGGCAAGGAGGTGGCCATCAAGGAGCTGCGCGAGAGTCCAGAGCGCCAGAAGGAGGCCGTCAAGGAACTCGCTCGTTTGTTGGAGGGTGAGTGCTGCTCAGGAGTTCAATCTGATCTATCTTATTCTGGGGTTTCTGTGATTTCTGGGATGATAGGAGTAATAATAATATTTTCGAAACCTCATTGCCTGACAATCTCATGCCACTAATCACAGGTTATATATTCGAAGGTTATAGTATTGTTGTCTAGCGGTTGCTGTCATGTAATGATAAGTTCTACGATCAGTGATCGACGATCGTTAGATCTTCATAATTATATATGTACATCGAGAACTTAATCAGCTTAATGTTAGTTTTGGAATTTTATATTTTTGTTACCTTAGAGTTCAAAGTTCAGGGGTGCTAAGTGGCGCTGTAGTTTGTAGACTGTAGACCTAGTGATAATGTATCTCCTGAAATACTAATCTGAGCATTCATTGCAGCGGAGACCGATCTGCACTATCCCAAGGACAACGAGGAATGGCTAATACGATTCCTGCGTCCGTGCAAGTATTATCCAGAGAGTGCACGCGATCTGGTAGGAATAAATAAATAATGAATAGCTAAATGAACGATCCTCAATGAACTTTGACTCTTTTGGCAGATCAAACGCTACTACTCCTTCAAGGTAAAGCACTCGGACGTGTACAACAACCTGAAGCCCTCGGGCGAGGCCAACATCTTCAAGAACAACATACTGACCGTTTTTCCCAATCGCGACCAGTGTGGACGCCGCATCCTGGTACTGGAGCTGGGCAGTAAGTGGCACGAGGCTCCCCAGCCTTCGTGGACCTCGGCTATGTAGATTATAATCTCTCGTTGTCCTTGACAGAACGCTGGAAGCACAAGCAGGTGTCACTCGATGAGGTATTCAAGGGAGCGGTCATCTTCCTGGAGGCGGCCATGCTGGAGCCAGAGACGCAGATTCACGGTGCCGTCGTTATCTTCGACATGGATGGCCTGAGTCTGCAGCAGACGTGGCAGTTCACGCCGCCCTTCGCCAAGCGCATAGTCGACTGGTTGCAGGATTCGGTGCCGCTACGCATCAAGGCCATCCACATCGTAAACCAGCCGAAGATGTTCAACGTGGTCTTCGCCCTCTTCAAACCATTCCTTCGCGAGAAGCTGCGCGGCCGCATCATCTTCCACGGCACTGATCGCGACTCCCTGCACAAGTATATGTCGCCCAAGTGCCTGCCCCCTGCCTACGGCGGCATTCTGGAACTCAAGCGCGTGGAAAGCGATCAGTGGTACCAGCTCCTTCTTAAGTGCGACACCGAGTTCGATGCCATTAACTCGTATGGCTACAAAAAAAAGTAACGTGATTGCTCGGTGTGCCTTCCGGGTCTGCAGCAAGTGATAATTTCCTTTTCTTTCCCCAATATGCCCCACAATGCCCGCTCCACTCCACTGCACACTCAAAGTCACGCAAGTTAGGCATATAATAGTTAAGCACTCAGTCTGTTTTACGCTTGTCCCGTTAGCGACAGCGCCTAGAGTTTGCCGTAGTCTTAATCGATCCGATTCCAATCCAGCGAAGTGTTATACATGCTCGTACATATTATATTTAATCCGGGGTAAGCGTATTTATATTGTGTTAATACTTATTATACATGTTAAACAAATCGTTGAAATATAAACACACATCCATATAAAGCATTTTTTTTTTGTATACTGTTTATGGAATCAAAGGGATTCAATGTACCATCCGTACACTTTGGTACAGTGTACATGTCCTGGACAGAGACCGTGCATATAACAAAAAAATACACTCTGTCATGCTCCTGTTTAAGGCACTTAAAATAAATACAAAATCTATTTTCCTTGTTGTAAGTGGCTTTTCCTTCAAGTGGATTTTTGTACGAATTAATTTTCATCTATTTATAATAAATGACTGGTTTCTTAGTCGTTATTCGAATGGTTTTTGTATCAGCGGAATACAAAATGCAAAATAGTAGTTCAACCATTTCCGAGGTTGAAGTTATAGACGACAACTAATGGACAGTCATAGTTTTTTCTCAAACCGCTATATTGGATAACAAATGTCTGCTATGGTATCTAATAGATACATGCATTGTAACATATGATTGGACTGTTCCGCAGTCCAGTCTGTTGTCTTCTCTTACATTAAATTTAATAGTATCAAAAATAATATCAGATTGTTTTTGTTATACCAAACATTGTGCGTACACCACATGTGAATCAATCAATACAAGCAATCTGCATCTCTTATGTTTGCATTGTAGAGGCGGTCAGCTTAAACCTAACATTTATGCCTTAGCTTCATTTAGAATATCAATCGATTTTTTCCGTACATTTCATACAATTGTACGTTATATCGATTTACTTTTTGGTCTGTGCTTTGACGACTCCTTGTCTCCTCCGTCTCCTGCGGTTGGAATGAATAGCGTGTATAGGAGCCGACCCTAGCCACCCTAGTGGTTAAATTAAGCGTAAATTCACTGACAGCTTCAGTGCTCATAGCCGGTAATTGGTCGCTGGCGCCTTCGGTGCACTGCGCTTCTGTCCGAACAGTTTCTTGGATGGGGTGCGCATGGCGGCGTCATACCCATCCCCATCCCCATTCCCGTCCTTATCGAGGTCCCCGGCGCCACCACCTCCTGTGCAGCAGAGCCGCCGCTGCACGAGCCGTATGGGTCGTGTCAAGTCGATGGTGTCGCCGTTGTGGCGGAGCTCGGCCTCGGCCACGCACTCCATGTGCTTCCACTGGCGCAGGCCGAGCACAAAAGCGTCGCTCACATTCGTCGCCGCCTTCGAGGAGGTCTCGATGTGGGAGACAATCTTCTGCTCCGCGCACCACTGCTGGACACTCTCGTAGCTGACCTGGCGCTTTTGCGGCAGGATGTCGTTCTGCACGTGAGAAGACATTACTGGGGGTTATTGTTTAAGATCGTATTTGGCCTCTTCCACTCACCTTGTTGCCCACCACAATGAAAGGAAACTTATCCGCCTCCACGTCGGCATAGGTCAGAAACTCGTTCCGCCAGAGACCCAGTCCCCTCAAACTGTCCCGGTCGTCCAGGGCATAGCAGAGCAGGCAAATGTCCGATCCCCGATAGAAGGGCGTGCGTAGGGCCCGGAATCGTTCCTGACCAGCCGTGTCCCAAATCTAGATTGTTCGAAACAAAGAAATTCGTCAATTGTTGTACCTTCAGTGGGCATTCTATTGATATTTGCATCATTGTTCCGTAACTCGTGCGGCATTCAGTGTTCTGAATGTGCTCCCAATTCCCAAGGCATTCAAGAACTACGAGTATGTACCTTGCCAGATATCAGAGTCTCTAGTGACTCATATCATGCCATATTATTTGCTCTACAAATATTCAGTCTCAGAGGTAGTCAGTGCCACCAAATCCAACCCAAAGGACTGATAACGAAGCTTCAGTGATAAGCAAATAAACCAAACAAAATAACTTGAAGCAAATTCAGCCTGTAGTGTGGTTCCAAACGACAACAAAAAATGATTTTTCTGAGCATATGTCTTATGCAGTTCGAGAGCGGAATCTACATTAACTAACACGTCATGGAAGGTTCTGTCGGTTCTTAGAAAAAACACTCGTTAAGCAAGTACAGCCCGAAACGTCATAGGGGGGAACCCATTCCACCCATAGTCGGAGAGGATTTCCTCTTTGGTAGTTTCCCTCTGACATGAGAATCGTCGGATTCCCGGTTCTTGTCGGGGTCCAGAATAAGCGAACCGTGAACCGGCATCATTTTCTAGAGCTTACCACAAAAAACACCTCAAATATGTGACATTTCCCGAGCATTACTCATACGAGCTGACATTCTTATGCTTTCCAAAGCGCTTGGTCGGGTCGGGCATCGATTGCATCCATTATAATAATCATTATTCCATTCCGATGCCATTTGCAGCACTTTGCTTACTCACTGAGACGCACTCAATATTCATAAGTTTCCAGAGCTTGACGGTCTGTGTTGTGTGTTTTGGTTCTTCTAATTTCGATGTATCCATGACAGCATAAGGGAAAAACGAACTCGGAGCAGGAAAGGTGGCGGGTGCGACGAATGATGAAATACTCTGATGTCGAGCAAAGGAACTGTTTCCATTATTTCTCATTCTTTTTTTGCAATGCTAAACTGTACGTTAATTGACTACGAAGTTGATGTGTGTTTGCGTGTGTGTGTGTGTATGGGGGCAGATGAAACAGATACAACTACAAACACAAGTACTGTGGATGGCACAGAGGGGAAAACAATGCTCGATCGTTGTTCAACTTTTAAACGCTTGCGCTGACCAACGAAAACGTTGACTATGTGTGTAATAGTTACGTTACAGTCTCTCCACTGGAAGCTGTATATACTACTTCCGAAGGGAATATCTTAACTGTTGTTACATCATGATGGATCGAAACAAATAGCTTCAAGTGAACGAAATATGTATGTATACATATGTATATATGTATGGTGTGCGTTGTATCGTTCGGAAACTAGAAGGGATATACTTGGCTTAGCTTAGCGATTTCTTCAGCCTGCAACCACTCAACTGTGGCGCAGATTACGAAATATTCTAGGGCAGAGAGACCAGACCAGCCCCACAACCAGACCCACCTGCAGGGTGTATTGCTCCCCGTCGACCACAATATCCTTGTTCATGAACTCGACACCAATCGTATGGAAATTGTTCTCCTCGTAGCGGTTCGATACGAAGCGGGTGAGCAGTGCAGACTTGCCCACGCCCCCATCGCCCAGTATGACGACCTTCAGCAGCTTGGATTTCTGCGGTGGGCGCATATTTGCCATTTTGTTTGTTTTTCTTCCACACTTAAGCCCGGCAACGGTGCGTAGGATTTGGTCGAACTTTTTTACAATTGCGCAGCTAGCAAAGCCCTCCGGTCTGACTTTGCAATTTGTTCGATTAACTCACGATTTCGCATCGATTTTCTATCACTTGGCCAGATGCATCGAATCTGCACTTTGCCAAATACAAAGTTACGTGAATCGAGTCAAATTTAAATGAAACAAATGCGAAACCGAAAACCGCGCTGTGGGACAACTCAAATTCGGTTGTGGCGGGCGGTGGGCAATGGGGCTGTCAGCTGACAACTAACAGAGCGGGAAGCACGAAAGAGCGTGGCAGCATGGTCGAATTGCTCGAAAGGTACCTTGGTAGCCTAAGTTGTTTTCCACCCTCTTTTTCTGGCTCTGTCTCCATTGCCCACAAATGCCACTTCCACTAATATTAAAATGAAGCCAGTAGCGATTTAATTGAAATCGTTTTAGATAATTAAGGGAACAAACGTTTGATTCGCAGCCACACGTGCCGCGATCCATACATATGTAATCTTATGATTTAAGTAACTCATTCCTGTCATATATATTATCGTATACTCTCTTACGCACTTCGTCTACCTCTTTACCTCTTTCCATCAATGAGCAATATTCTCTCTGATCTGTTTCCATACTCCCTTCCTCACTCCGATAGGGGGTGACACTGTACGAGAAACTGATATAGGGGAGCCATCCAATGTGCATTTTTTGTTGAATTCTCGTTAACAAGACGTGTTTCTGCGAGATATGGCCATTCTCTACGACTCTACGATCAATGCGGACGGACAGACTGGAGGCAAAACGAACAAAAAATTTAATGTATCTCAGATACTCAATGAAGAGTCCGCTGGCTTAGTGGTTAGCACCTTTAGATTATCCTACCATGCGTGAGTGGGCCAGCAGCCGTGCTGCCAACTTTTTATAAAAAGAAAACTGTTTCTAATTTAAAAAAGCGAAAAAAGCTGAACGTTTTCAATCAAAATCCAAGAAAAAGCGTAAATAATGGTGTTAACAATTTTGTATTAAAGTGATATTTAATATGTATTTTAGAGAATATTCATTAACTCATCCAGCTCTGTGGGGCTAGTTTCTGTTTTGCATTCGTACGACATGGTCGTACCAATAGTAATATCCTTGCACTGACAATAAAACCTTACCTTAAGCACAGAACTCAGAATTGGCCTTGCTTAGTTTCATGGAATTCATTAGTTTTGTCCTACCCAGATTAGTGCCCGCTTAATTTCCGCGTTTGACCACGGCAATGATAGCATTTGCAGCGCATAAACTGTCAGGTCAATAAATCTGTGGTTTTCACCAGAATCTTTACAGAAGTAGGTCTCACTTCAAAACCTAGCTGATATCTTCTCTCTTTAATTAATGAATATATGTAGCTATATTCGCATTCAATTTTTAACTTTACTCAGAAATTTTGCTAACTCCAATTTTCTAAGCACACAAGATTTTGTTGACGGAAAAAAGTCAACCTGTTTTAGAATTTCTAAATTATCTGAACATAATGATGAACCGGCAAAATTTGTTTCCACTTTTTATGTAACCGGGGGCAACAGAAAACGAGGGGGAACGTTGTGAGTTGCTGCGGACACCGCAACTCTACGGTTATACCCGATACTAAGTCAGTATGGCTCTCCTCCGGCAGAGGCCGCTAATATTAAACGACACGACAAAGAGTGCGTGCGAGAGAGACAGAAAATCAGTCTGAGCGTGACGTCGGGCGCTGCGTAGCCAATGCAAATTGATTTGTTCCTTTTGGCTACAAAAATTATCTGATCTGATCCAAATTCAGCAACTGGATAGATATAGTCATTCTCTATGATTCTGCGTTTTTAGTTTTCTCGAATCTGCAATATTGTGGATGCAACAGATTTTCGTCCTTTGTGGGGGCGGATGGGGATGGGGCGAAATTCTGAGATATACGTTTTATAGTGACATTTTAAAGGAGTGTGTGTACCAAATTTGGTTACTCTAGCCTTAATAGTCTCTGAGATTTGTGGTTGCCTCAGATTTTCGTCCTTTGCGGGGGCGGAAGGGGGTGTGGCGAAATTTGGACAGGAAACGGTCAAGGTCCGATATCACAGGAGTGTGGATACCAAATTTGGTTGCTCTGGCTCTTATAGGTTCTGAGATCCTTGAACTCATATTTGGCAATTGGCAAAACCGACTATGAAACCTGTGTGTTAGAGTGAGACAGAGCGAGAAAGAGTGAAATTGTTTTCGTGATTCTGGCTGTAATAATTGTACGATCTGGTTCAGATTTTGCACTTTAGAAGATTTAGTCATCTTCTACGATTCTGCGTTTTTAGTTTTCTCGTATCGTCGAAATTGTGGATGCCACAGATTTTCGCCCTTTGTGGGGGCGGAAGTGGGCGGGGCAAAGTTTTGAAATATTTTTGGAGCAGTGACATATCACAGAAGTCTGGATCCAAAACATCGTTGCTCTAGCTCTTATAGTCTTTGAGCATTAGGCGCTGAAGGGGACGGACAGACGGACGGACGGACAGACAGACATGGCTCAATCGACTCGGCTATTGATGCTGATCAAGAATATATATACTTTATGGGGTCGGAAACGATTCCTTCTGGACGTTACACACATCCACTTTTACCACAAATCTAATATACCCCAATACTCATTTTGAGTATCGGGTATAAAAAGCCAAGCACAATAATAAAAAGTCCAGAATTCCCTCTTAATTCACAAATTTTTGCCGCATTTGGTCTTCAAAGTGAGCAGACAGTGCTCCAGTTCTGGGAATATTCAACATTGAAGCTAATAGGGTTCTTTCTCCTTTAAATTTAAATCATCCTCGATTTAATCACAAACATAAATATCTTACGAGTACAGACGCTGTCAGCCCTTAATGACTGCTATTGGTCGCATTTTGATGCACTTCTTGCTAATACCCGCCGCGTGACAGGTGTCAACAACATCGGTTACATCCTTGTACGACTCTGGAGCCTCCTCCATGACTAGCTTGGGTGAGGCTACGCGTATGGCAATGCCGATTTGCTCCAGCTTGTCCAGCACCTCCTTGTAGTCGAGATTACGCCGAGATTTGGCACGTGACAAGGCGCGACCCTAGCAGAAGTCGGAAAGGGATGAGATGAGAAGGAACAAAAATCTTTGAGATTGAAAGATAACTTACAGCTCCGTGGCAGGTGCTGCCGAAGGTCTCCTGCATGCCCTGCTCTGTGCCAGTCAGCACGTAGCTGCAGGTGCCCATGGTGCCGCCCACGAGTACGGGCTGGCCAGTCAGCTGATAGTCCACTGGGATCAGTGGATGGTGGGGAGGAAAGGCGCGCGTGGAACCCTTGCGGTGCACGAGCAGCTTGCGCTCCTTGCCGTCCACAATGTGGTTCTCCACTTTGGCGATGTTGTGCGAAACATCGTAGATGACGTGCATGTCGAGATCGTCCGGAGTGGTGTTGAACATCTTGGCGAACGCCTGGCGGGTGAGGAAGGTCATGGAGCTGCGATTGACCCAGGCGAAGTTGGCCGCCGCCGCCATGGCCTTCAGGTAGTCCTGTCCCTCAACAGAGTTGATGCGGGCGCAGGCCAGCTGCCGATCGTTGGTCTCAATCTTGTCCCGTTTCATGGCCTTTTCCATTTGCACCAGCGCGTCGGTGGCGACCTGGTGACCAAAGCCGCGGCTTCCAGAGTGTATCATGACGACCACCTGGCCCTTCTCCTCGATGCCCATCTTGGAGGCGCTCCACTTGTCGTAGATTTCGTCCACCACCTGGATTTCGGCGTAGTGGTTGCCCGCGCCCAGTGTTCCAAGCTGCGGCAGCCCACGCTTCTTGGCCCGCATGCTCACCTTGGCGGGATCGGCGTTCAACATGCGGCCGTACTCCTCGCAGTGCTCCTTGTCCTCGGCCCAGACGTAGCCCTCGCGCAGCGACCAGTCCATTCCCATTTCCAGGGCCTCCTCCAGGTCGCGGGCGTTCATCGGAATGATGCCTTTTGAGCCCACGCCGACGGGTATGTGGTCGAACAGAGACTGGGCCAGCTGCTCCTTCACCGGCTGCACGTCCTTCTCGAACAGATTGGTGCGCAGCAGGCGAACCCCGCAATTGATGTCGAAGCCCACGCCACCAGGGCTCACTATCGACAGCGGGTTATCCATGTCGAATGCGGCCATATTGCCGATGGCGAATCCATAGCCTGAGTGTATGTCGGGCAGGCCAATTGAGCGACCCACAATACCGGGCAGGGCGGCCACATTTGCGATTTGCTTGACGCCGGGCAGGAAACCACCGACTGCTCCGGGACGGCACGAATTCTTCAGTTCCTCCAGCATGAGCCGCTCCAGCCGGCTGTTCACATAGAAGCATCCCTCGACGTTCATGTTCGGCTGGAAGCCCTTTTTGATCTTCCAGCAGTGGTCGTTGATCTTCTCAAGATACCCGAGCTCATCATTGTAAGAGCGAACCACCATTGTGAAATCACTTAATTTGACTTTACTGGACGTTGTTTTTATTTAGTTCTCCCTCAACAACAATATGATGAAAAACCGAACTTAGCCCACTTCAGCCCCCTCTATTTAAGCAGTTCAACGACTTGAGGTAAATTGCGGAAAATATTAACAATGGTTAATTCTTCTTGTAGATTCAGGCCATCTTTCCACTGAACCTAAAAAAAACACTATATCTTTCACCTGAACTGCGCTAACATTAAATTTTCATTATATGCGGTTTAAAATTGCAATACCCCTTTGGCTTATAATAGGTTAATCGTTCTCCGTTACGGATTGGAAATCATATTGTTCAATTTTGATTTTCCGTCGAATATTATTAGCTAGATAGAACATTTAGTTATGTCCACATAATTTTATCCAATTAATAAACCTATTTTCTAATTGACTGGCTTATTTTAAATACTTGACTTTGATAGTTTTTGCCTAAATTTTTGTTCTTCAACAAAGATATGGCGTCTCCTATGATGAAAAACGAATTTAACCCACTTAAGCCCCCCCTATTTAAACAGTTCAACGACTTGAGGTAAGTGGCGGAAATTCTTCCTGTATCCTTTCTCTTTACTTAAAAAATAAAAGAAGCCAAGAAATCTTTCACCTGAACTGAGCTTAAATTCTTGAAGATTCAAGATTTGAATAACCACTGATCGAGAAATCGGGTCAATTGTTCTCTGTCCATGACTAGAAGTCATATTCCTCGTTTTTAATATTCGGTTTAATTTTACGAGCTAGCCAGGACTATTGGGTGATTTGAAATACTCGATATTGCGAATTATAAACAAAAAAAACCACCAAGCACAATCGAACTGTTTCAGCGTGAACTGTTTTATTTTGAGATCATTTAAAATGTTACTTAGTAACCCTCAGGGGGTCTTAAAATATTCATGGTAATATTTATAGTAGTCTTGTAAGTAAGCTGGTGGTCCGTAGATTTTGAATTCTCTGTTGATCAAGTCGCTAATCAGGAAGCTAAGATGTGGACACTGCTGGGACAGCTCTTCAGGTGAAAACGGCAAGATTCCGAGGATTGTTATATGGATGAGTTTTAGAGCTGGCACCCTGTTGAGTACATTGTGTTGCAGATAAGAGTCTCCCGTCTGATTGTGCACATGCAGCAGAGCCAGAGCCTCCATCTTATCCGTCGATTCCAAGAGCCGTGTTATCTGATAATCCCGCACATCGCAGTGACGCATGTCCAAGAAGAGCAGGGAACGTGCCACCTTACAGACAGCATTCACGATGTCAGGCGACCACTTGGCATGATCCAATTTGAGGGCCCGAAGGCGCAGGCTCTCCGACGCCCCTTGGCACAGGGGATTCAGATATCGAAGGAAATCTTTGTCGCTGGTCGAGTAACCTACCGTTATGTGCAGGCTGTTCAAATGGCGACCCAGCAACAGCATCAAGCCCTCATGAAAGGGAGGAGGATGCCGCATACTGAACTGCAAGTCGCGAAACCGGTGCAGCTGACGTTCAATGGCCTCATCGAAACGTGTATGGAGTTCATTAAACAGCGGCAGTATCTCGTCGAAGCCAAAATGAAATAAAATATTGTCCAGACAGTCGTCGTGGAGTTCCAAGAAGTTCATCTTAGGTTCTTCTGAAATGGAGCAGGACTATTAGTAATAATGGTATGGGAAACGCATGCGCTGAGAGTGGGATGCATGAAGATATAAATTAAGCCAACAAACAAAACTAATCATAAAACATTGCCAAAATCTAAGACCAACAGAAATTTAATCGAGAGCTTTTAGAGGTCTTCGGCTCTGGGAGCTGTCGCAGCTTGGTACCTTTGCGTTTTCTGAACTGGCACATACGTATGGTTAGTGGCGCGAACGAGTCAGTAGTTCGGTTCGCGAAAGCAGCTGTTACTCTCCCCCATGTATGTGAGTGTGTGCGAGTGTTGATGTTGTATTGTTTATGGCCGCGCCGCTCCAAAATTAGTGATTCATATAAAACTCGTCTCCAACTCGCGGCGAAACTCACGTATCACGTATAGTCGCTCTGCCTCGACAGAAATTTGTTTCGATTCCAAGAGCAGAGTCAAACTCCACGAATCGCGGCGGCGGAGTGCAAATAAAAAGTGTTTGCGTGGATTAAAATTTTCGTTTTGGCTTAGCTTTTACCATCAATCAAAATCAATTAGGTACCGAATTCCCTGGGTTGACTGTGCGGCGAAATTGGAGCAGAAAGCGCTATCCACACACATACACTAGCAAACACAATGGATGACTTAGGTGAGTGAAACAAAACTTCCTGCAACATTCCAGCAGTGCAAGCCACAAACTTATGCTGCGGCTCAAGGTCAACAGTTAATTAGCATTCCGTGCGGGCCCGACAACGGCCGCCAAGTGGCGAATGAATAATTTTGGACAATGGATTCTTATCGTGTTAATCAAGCCAAGTGATAACCAATCAGCCTACTTTTCTTATTCACATTTACTAGCCGGAGTGCCTATTTACATTTGCATTCCGGGCTCTGTTCATTCCTGGAAATTGCACACAAAACGATATCGTCGTGCGAGGGTGTGGTTCTTCCCGATTGCCGAACACGAACGCGAACGCGAACGAACCCTTGATTTGTTAATGATCTGGACGAACATCCGACTTAATGTGTTCTTATTTGTTTTTCGTTTTTTCCCTCCTTCCATTTCGATTCTCTGGAACGACCGACACTCCGCGCACACTTTTAGTCATCATCAGCAAAAAAAGTTGTCGTCTCATAAGTGTATCTGGAAGCTTACTTTATTTTCATTATGACACAATTCTTTGCTGTTTTCCAGTTCCTCTGTGTGTTTGTGTGTGTGTGAGCTTGTTTCTGGCTGATCAGACATTCTTGAGAAATGAGTAAAGTAAAGAAAGGCCAGGTCACACACACGCACACACAAGCACGCGCATGCAGCTCCAAAATTCCAGCTGACTGACAATCCACCTACGCACAGTGGGTCGCATACAATTGAAAATTGCAGAGTGCCATCACCAGATCGCGTACAGGAAACTGATGCTTCTGCTCCTCGTCTTCTCCGCATTGTGCCACACTTGCATCAATTTCGCAGCCATTAGTGAGCGCGCGCCCACTTCATTGATGGAGCCGTCTACCCACTCGACACGCAATGTCTGCCCAGTCCAGATCTGTTCGTGTTGCGTGTGCGCACTGTAAGAGCTGTTGACTGTGCAGCTGTCTGGTATGATCTTTTGAGATCGGGTTTGTCTGGCTTTAAGGGTCGCTGGCGTTGGTTAGCGAGTGCCACTCTCTAGCTTGGGAGCCCAGCAGCCGCACACTGGTACAAAACGCGATATAAAATGGAACCCTAGACCCCTAAATACCGTCTTTGTCTACCCCACAGGTCATGGAGACCTACAGGGTGGTTCATCAAGAGACAACGAGAATGAACGAATGATTGTTTTGTAATCAACCACTATAACCGCAGTACTCCTCATACCCCGCCAATGCAAATGAATTGACTTACGATTTCCTCTATCCATTTACGGACTGTGGCTTCCTTTCCAAATAACTGTTGGCACACTGTGCACACGCACAAACAACAACCGTACGACAATCTTTGCCTCCGCTTTGGTTTCCTTTTCCGTGTGCCTCCCACTTGCGGTCTGGTCGAGTCGATGCTTCGGCAGCCGCAGGCCCCACGAAACAAAATGAAAAGCGACTGACTCCGAAGGCAAAATGAAAATCGGCTGGCTCTCAGAGCGCTAGAAGATTGTTAACCTCTCTCTCTCTCTCTGTCTGAAGGGGCTCTCAGAGAGCGGACTATTTCTAATGGAGCCCCCATTTGATGGGGTCGGTTCCATTTCGGTTTTAGTCGCTCGCGACGCCTTTAACTCAATAGAGAGCGCGGTGCGCGCGCGTATCATCGGTTCTAACAAAATATTAGAGACAACAAACTGTCAAAGTGCATTGAAAAGTGCGGAAAAGTGCAATCGTGAGGGAAAACAATAAAAACCAGCAAAAGCCATCCATCAGTCAAGTGTTCAATGCTCGCAGACGCGTAACGAAGCAACAAAAAAGTCAACACAAATTGATGAAAAATCATTGGAACTCGGTTGGTGATATTGCGGCAGGTGGTAGCGTGGGAAATTGTTTACTTTGCTCGGAGGAAAACATCAGAGTAGCAAAGATAGACAAATAGCAGATAAAAAAATGCGAAAAGAAGTGATAAAAGATAAAAGATAGGCGAGGAATGTCGCCAGTAGCTAAAAATCGCATTGGGGATTTGGGATCTACTCAGATTAACGGACAATGTTTTGCTTTCCTTCAAACATCTTAATTTGCACTAATTATGGATCCAATTAGAAAGCTACAAGACATCCAGATAGATGAGGCATTTGCCCCCTTGTGGCAGCGCATAGAGATTTGGTGGCCGTCATTAATTTTGTGGGGGACCGACCGACTGAACGGATTAGATCGTAGGCGTTGAGATGGAAATTTGTTTTGGGTATTTCTGGAGGGGAAATGCTTGAAAAGAAATACAAAATACCAAACACAAAACACAAAACCAATTAAATTGTGCCCACTTAATCTATTAAAATTATGACATATTTCACATATTTTAAGCACTCGAAATGCAGAGAGCAGTGGGGAGGGAGCGAAGGGAGCGTAGCGTTTCCTAGGGGAAAAATTACAAAAGTATCTCGGGTTACGAAAGCAAATGGAAACGCTGGAGAATGATGTAAACGCAAACGCCTGACAAAGTGCTCACAAATAAACATTTCGTTGTTGTTGTGGTGTTCAATCGAATGCACTCATGAGAATCCCCTTTCGGACTGCCCTGGCCTGCCCCTGCCCCTGCCCCTGCCCACCCACATAAAGCACTTTCTTTGGCCCTGCTGTATCTCTCGAATCTCCCGGATCTCTCGGATGCGACCGAAGCAGAGCTGATGCCACTGTCTGGCCTGAAGCAAGATCTGTCGATAACTTCCGTTTGAAGCTCCTCTCTCGGCTCAGTCCACGCCTAATCTGCCACTACTTAGCACCTCTCCTCAGCTTATTCTTAGTGCAATGAGTTCATCGCTGTTCGAATGTCGAATTTCGATTGCTGCTCAGCAGGTTCCTATTCCTATTCCCTCCATCTCTGCCGATCGCTCTCCGGCACATTTAACACAATGATTCTTATCTCTAAGCCATTAAATTTCAATTAGTGTTTGTTTCTGTTGCTTTAGGGGGGGGACTTGTTGGCACATTCCTTATGTATTTTCCTTGTAGCTCACTCGTAGCTCACTTTAAAGACCATTCAAAGCAGGGAAAACTCCAGGAAAATCCCTTGTTAAATACTTGTGTACTTTCTGTTGCAATCCACACCACCATCCACTTCTGTAACGCAAAAGCCCCACTTATCTTATCACCACGCCAGATTCCAGAAGGGTACTCCATGGACAATCCGTTGGGGAATGTACGCCATAAATTGGGCTGGTTTATCGGCAGAAAGGCCGAAAGATATGCCCAGAGATCGGTTAATATATCTGCCCGAAGATCACGAGTCTCGCGGTGTGTTCTCCCTCCTGCTTTTGTTGGGCCCGCTCTCTGTTCTTTTCACCTTCTTGCGCCTTCAGCAAGGTCAACACTCGCAACCCGCATTCACGCACACATTTTATCTACTCGCTAATAAAATATTTATATTGAGATCGCACCGATCTCATGGAATTTCCTTTCGTGCCTTTGACTTTTAGACACGGAGACTCGTAGTAGAAGGCAGACCCCAGACCCCAGACCCCAGACCTCAGACCGTTGGCCGAAACAATTGCCAACGAACGTCATTGCCCATCATCCATCCGCACGGAGTAATGTAATGCCTCCCCTCCCCTCCCCTCCCCACCACTCCCCATAGGTGTTTCTGTCGGTCGGAGGGAAACTTATGTGTTTATAAAATAGCCTGGAACGTGGATAGTGAGTTTCGCAGGTTTCTTTCACCTTTCTATCTTTCTTCTTTTTTTTTTTGGCAAGGCTCTGCGGAAATCTATTGCCGCATTTTCAATTAATTCTCCCCATTCTCCCCAGTTTGGGTCTCCCTTCGTTAGTCACGGGCTCGTTCTCATGCCAGAGAGGAGATCCAAAGACGACGACCGAGACGTCGCCTTTGATTTGCCAGAAATTGTAGTTGTTTTTTGGCTTTGGTTGTATTTTTAGTTGCCAATCATTGGTGTTGACGTAATTTGGCAACCTTGATTCCCCCCCTCCCCTGCCTTTCCTTTCCTTTTCTTTCCCTTTCTATCCCATCCCGTTGACGGGTATTTTTGGTATCGCTTTGTTTTTAGTTTCAGAATTTATATTTATTATTTTTTACCTTTTCCAATGTGTCGTCGCTGCGTGTTTTGTTTGAAACAAACGCGAAACGAAACAAAATGTGTGGCCGGGATGTTCGTTTGGGTATTTTTATGATTCCATAAATCTGTCTTTATGGATCGTTTGGCGCTCAACTTGATCTGCGCATAGATCTAGTATATGTACTATGTATCCGCAGTTGATCGTAAATACTGTTGGATCCATAGATCATCTATTGAGACTCACCCACCCACCCACGCACGCACCTTCCTTAGCTGATTTATAGATCGTGCTATATGGCTTTTGATCTGGTGATCACATAGATTAAGAGACCTCACCTCACTCCTCCAGGTTCAGTTTATTGGTCTAAGGGATCCCCATGTAATCTTCTGTCTGCAGATTGTCTGGGGAGCATTTCTTAGGCTGAAGAGATATTCCTTTCATCTCAAATCATTCACTGATTGATTACTTCTGATCTCAAACGCTCACTGGGGATTAATGGTCAATCAGCTGCAGTGATTTTCCATCCAAAATATACCTTTCGTCGCTTCATTCTCTCAAATGCACTCCGAAGGCACACTCCCTAGACAACCATTTGTTGGAGCAGGGAATGGGGCGCCTACAATAGTTTCTTCATGTATGCTCGGGGGCAAAGCTCTGTCGACAACGACAACGACAACGACAACGACAACGACAACAACGACCCATCGACGAAATCCACAAAATCCACACTGACAGGCAGAACTCAATGCAAACAAAACGACAAATCCGTCGTCGAGCCCCGAAAGGCCAAAAATAAAAATGCGCTTATAAATAATTCAAATGAAACTTTTAGCTGCCGGTAGATGAGAGCCAGCCACAAAAGCAGGCAAAATAAAAGAAACACAAACCTCAGATACAAAATAAAAATGTCATTAGACAGTTCCTTGGTTATTTATTGACTTCCCCGCAAAAAAGAACCAGTGAGCTGAAAGCGAATCCCTCCATCGGAGCAATGGATAGAACAATGTACGGAAAAATCGACCCAGGAGCACGACAGCCATATCGTACAGCTCGGAGCAAGGGCATTCTGCCTGGCTGTAAGTATCCACAAAAGTATTCCCAATTCAAGTCCTCTGGCAGGATAGATCTGTTGTCTAGGTGGACGGAAGCGAAAGATGTAGATGACGATGGAGGACACGATCTATCCACGTAACAGATGTACATATCTCCCGGTTTAAATAAAAGTGAAATTGATATTCAATTCTTTCCAATCTTTCTGCTTTGCTCATCTTCCATTGAGATGGAGGATTAAGAAGCCACCCAGTTGTGCAGATCAGAGATCTGCGCGGCATGGTTTCACTCGCAACATACTCGTAATTCCAATAGAATGCACTCGAATCGAATTCGAAGGCATACGATTAAACGAGTTTATGTAAATGGGATAGGGCATTCGGTTATATGCGCTAGAATGAAGATCGGAAACCGAAATGAAAGAAATCTCATATGGGCGCCACTTGCATTGCTTTTCTAAACTAGACCAGGGAAAAGATCCTTGTGTTTTTTGCTGCAAATATGTAAGAAAATGCATTCGAAAAGCAATCGTAATTCTCACACATTCAATTCGTGCTACTTCTTTTAAATGTTGTGCGTCCGAGTCTTATGTGAGCGCACTCATTCATTCAAACTCTATCAGCGCAGCGTTATATTTTAAGAGCTGTTATTTTGAATGCCGGTTTTTAGCCATTCTAGAAGACCTCTAGTTCCCACCACGCCAATACCAATAACTACCAGATGTCCAGCAAGACACCAGACACTTTTGTTGTCAAAAGCTAACTTTTGTTAACAAAAGTGAATGTTTGGTTTCTAATAAAAAGTTTAATCCAAAACCATATTTCACCCGTACAATAATTGTATACGAAATTCTTCACACTATTATCGAATTCGACCGATACTCCACCGATCTACTTCCACACAACAATCGATATTGTCTCCAGCTTCGGCGCCTCGCATATAAACCTGAACAGACTGTTTCCATCGTAGGCGCAGGGACGATCGTTCAGTTCGAATCCTTGGGAGTCCTTATATATGTAGCCCAAGTGAATGCAATGCTCTTTGTCGCCCGCGTTGTCGGGTTGTCCGTGAGCCCATCTCAGACTGTTGATCCGCTGGCCATTGGAGAACCACTTGTGGATTCCCGTCTTGCCCAGATCGTTCCCAGAGCTCCAGTAGTTGCCCCGATCTGCATTTGCCTTTAGATACCTGGCAATGGCGTCGAACTCCTCGTCTGTCTCGAAGGTAACCAGCTCGGCTTCCAGCTCCCGGCATTTCTCGTAGGCCACGTACC